ATTTCCAAGTACACTCGATCCAAAGTAGATAAGTCAGCTTTGAATTCTGAATTCTATAAACTCATGGGTGGTCCCGTGCATATGAAAACCATCATTTCCAGCTGCATGTGTTCCTTCCCTGATGGGCTCTTTTGTGTTTTCTACAATGCAATGAATTAAATTCTGATCATCTAGAACTAGAAGACTAGAACTGGATTGGCTAGGTTTTGTAATGTTATAAGATTTTACAATATAATATAAACACTAGGTTTTTTTCCTATGTAATTTGTTTTTGGTGAATTGAGCCTAATAACCGGAGTCCAAGCTAAGCAACTTTATTTCCATAACTTTTATTTTTTTTTTTCTTTTTTTTTTTGGTACTCTAGTTTACTTTTTTGGCGTGAGGTTTGGAATGTTCATTCTTTTTGCTCCTTCACCGAACTTCTTCTTGGTCTTCTTCCGTTCCTCTCTCGTTGCGTCAAAGACGTCGTTTATTCTTATTTTGTACCATATTATAATATATGAGTAAAGTATTTATTTATGTTTTTTTTCAGTTTATAAAGTGACAGTCAAAATTACTGAAGAATCTCCGTTTAAGTAAAGCTAAGAACCTTACATTTCTCCTCCATCCTAACTTTTATTACAGTCGAATGATGAGAAAGCATTCTTCTCCTCCATCTCCTTCTTTTCCTTCTTCTTCTTCTTCTTCTTCTCCTTTCACTCAATCATGGACATACGATGTGTTTTTGAGTTATAGAGGTGAAGATACACGCAAAACTTTTATCGACCACTTATACACTGCTTTGGACCGTCAAGGAATACACACTGTTGACACAGAAAAATGGTTCGGCACTTTCCCGCGCAACTTAGTGATTTAGTCTCTTCGGTATCTGATGTCCTCGGTAGGGTGTGCGATCTGTAAGATAGCAAACGCACGGTAAGTCCTAGGGCACCGGTGTGGTACCGGCGGAAGGCTCTCCGATGCTTAAGTAAGTACGGATTTAGTAAGTTTGAACTACAGATCAATAGGCGGTATGCCGTAAGTTCTGATTGATTACCTCCAAGCTGGGATGGTTGTCCTCCTTTATAGGCCTTGGGAGGCGTGCAACTTGTTTAGAATTTCGATGTGGGACTCTGGACATCAATTGTGGGACTGCCACGCGTCCAAGGGGGCGAGGTTGCCCTAATGTTTCGATCGGTAGGTCTTGTACCGAAGGTGGGTGCCAAAGGCACTCCATGGCCCTGGTTTAGCCCACGTGTTCGACATTCATTGGTTGTTCATTTTGGTATAAACACACACTTTTTTTTTTTTTTTTTTTTTTTTTTTTTTTTTTTTTTTTTTTTTTTTTTTTTTTTTTTTTTTTTTTTTTTTTTTTTTTTTTTTTTTTTTTTTTTTTTTTTTTTTTTTTTTTTTTTTTTTTTTTTTTTTTTTTTTTTTTTTTTTTTTTTTTTTTTTTTTTTTTTTTTTTTTTTTTTTTTTTTTTTTTTTTTTTTTTTTTTTTTTTTTTTTTTTTTTTTTTTTTTTTTTTTTTTTTTTTTTTTTTTTTTTTTTTTTTTTTTTTTTTTTTTTTTTTTTTTTTTTTTTTTTTTTTTTTTTTTTTTTTTTTTTTTTTTTTTTTTTTTTTTTTTTTTTTTTTTTTTTTTTTTTTTTTTTTTTTTTTTTTTTTTTTTTTTTTTTTTTTTTTTTTTTGGGGTTTGTCACGGCCCCGGACCCGGGGGTAGGTGGAAATCCCGTGCCCGGTGCGTGAGAAAATAAAATAAAAAGAAATAAAATAAAAAGATGTCGAAACATGAGTTTAAAATAAACTTCTCTTATAAAAATACATCCAAAAACTTACAACTTTACAATAAATAAAGCTCTAACACTCTCATCTAATTCAGCCTCAACTGGTTTATTCCTTTTCTTGCCTACTAATTCATCTGAAAATTTAAACAAGGCGAGGGATGAGCAACCATAGCTCAGTAGGGACATGAGACCTTACCACAGTAGATTGATATAACTAAATTAAGTGACAAGCAATCACACAGCCAAATATCACATTAATAATAATAATATATAATAATAATGCATGAATGCTCTTCAATTCTAATCCCATTAATTCATATAATTGGACAAGCAGACCTGCACGTCCCATACCATGCTTATACCACTTGGTCCCGAATGCCCATTTATATGAACTAACACCCATTTCAATCATCCCATAATTCCCCTTTTGTTAGTTATCTTGTCTAACTCCCTTTCGCCAGTCCCGAATCACCCAATAAAAACCATGTGCACTGTGGGATCCCTGAGACCTGGTACCTGCCAAGAGTTAGACTCAACTACACAAAAGACTATTTCCATTACCCTCTTTTCCATTATTATCTTCTCCACCCAACAACTCCAACCAATTACCATGACATGATATAATTATGCCAACATTATTCAAATAGTTCACAATACATAAATATCTCATATCAAGAACATTATACAATATCACACATAATATAGAGTTCACGAAATTTAATTAAATCAATCTTCTGTAAAGGCTCCCAAGAAATCCCTACCTCGTTTCCAAAGCATTGCTCCAATTTAAGAAAATACAAGCTAAGCCTTATATCTCTTCCAAGAATTTCACCATCATCAACACACTCTCTCTCTCTCTCTCTCTCTCTCTCTCTCTCTCTCTCTCTCTCTCTCTCTCTCTCTCTCTCTCTCTCTCTCTCTCACGTTGCATGATATCTCTTCCTTATTAACACTCCTATTTATAGGCAGTGAGATGGCGGTAATAATCGAGAGGATAATAACTAAAGCCACTCTCTTATCTTATACAAAAAGATAACTTGGTTGCCACTCTTTTATAGAAGCTGATATGTGCCAACGCCAGGAGATATATTTCCAAAGGCCATGCCACCTGTTGAACTTATAAACTCCTCCTCAAGCTAAGATAAAGCCTAGTCACCAAATTGTAAGCATGAGCTGTCCAAATGCATGGTAATGCATCAACTAATTTAATGGAAAAAGCCACCTCTAGCTTACTAATTTAAATATATCTCCAAATTAAGATAAGAGAGAACAATCTTTCTTTCCAAGAAAACAATGTAAGAATGCCACGTCTAAACTCTTAATCCATGTTATTAATATATATGTATATAAAGCACCCAATAACCATCTAATAGCATCCAAGGAATAATGAACAAATATATAATTTAAACCATTTTTTTTTTTTTTTTTTTTTTTTTTTTTTTTTTTTTCGAAAAAAAATGTATAAACATAGTATATATGTATAATAATAAATAATATGAAATGGTATTATAAAAGTAAAACAACTATAAAGAAAATGGACTCTCACAATCTACCCTCCTTAAAGAAATTTCGTCCTCGAAATTTAAAAAGAAAAACTTATTGGAATTAGAGAAAAATTTATGGATACTTCTTACGCATTTCAGTTTCTAATTCAGTTTCTAATTCCCATGTAGCTTCTTTTGTATTTCCATGTAACCAAAGAACTTTGACCAATGGTTTTGTTTTCGTACATAAGACTTGTTCCTTATGATCCCAAAATTTGTATTGGTCTTTCCTCAAATGACAGTTCTTCATCTAAATTGAGCTCTCCCGAATCTAGAACGTGAGTTGGATCAGGCTCATACTTTCGAAGCATAGAAACATGGGAAACACTATGTACATTCGATCAAAAGTTGAGATGGTAATGCTAGCTACTTCACCAATCCTTTCTAAGATTTCAAATGATCCAACAAACTTTGGTGATAATTTTCCAGTCTTCCCAAACCTTTTTTTGTACTCCTCTTCGTGGTGAGACTTTAAGAAACACATAATCACCTACGTCAAAACTTAACGGTTTCCTTCTTTGGTCTGCATAGTTCTTTTGTCAACTCTGAGCAGTTAAGAGACATTGCTTGATAACTTTAATCTTTGCAGTTGTCTCTTGTACCAAATCAGGTCCTAGCAATATAGTTTCTCTTACTTCATTCTAACACACAGGTGATCGACAAGGTCTTCCATATAAAGCTTCATAATGTGGTATCTGAATGCTAGACTGATAGATGTTGTTGTAGGCAAACCCTACTAATACTAAATGATCTTCCCAATTTCCACCAAAATCTAGAATACATGCTCTCAACATGTCCCCCGAAATTTGAATAGTTCTCTCTGATTGTCCATCAGTTTGGGGGATAAAAAGTAGTACTGAAATTTAGTTGCATACCCAACGCTTTCTGTAAGCTTTCCCAAAATTTCGAAGTAAACTTGGAATCTCTATATGATACAATCAAAAATAGGAATTTCATGTAGTCTTACTATCTCTCGAATGTAAAGCTTTCAAAGACTTTCAGTGGAATATGTTGTTTTGACCGGTAGGAAATGTGCAAATTTGGTCAAACGATTCACTATAACTCATACTGCATCTCGTCCCTTCGGAGATCTAGGTAAATATGTAACAAAATCCATGGTTATATGATCCCATTTTCACTATGCTACTGGTAATGGCTATAATGGACCTGACGGTTTCTGATGTTCAGCTTTCACTTTGCTGACATGTAAGACACTTTGGTACAAATTTTTCTATATCTCCCTTCATGCCACTCCACCAAAAGTTATGTTTCAGGTCATGATACATCTTTGTCCCTTCAGGACGAATTGTATAAGACAAATGATGTCCTCCTTTCAAAACTTCCAGAAATTTCTTATACATACAATCTAAATATCTTAATCTACTATCTGTGTGAACATTCCATCCATGTGGTGTCTCTCTAGTTATAATCTTCGTTCGAATGTCTTTAGACACATAATCAGATTCTTGTGCCTGTTGATTAATATGACCAACAATGATAACAAAATCCTGAGTTTTGAGTTGCCTCAAATGATCTTGGATTTTGATACCCAAAACGAGAGGGGAAATTTTTTTTGGCATTTACTACTTTGTCTCCCGTTACGATTCTTAGGTTCCAAAATTCTCTTAGAACTAAGTATCCTTTGTTCAATTGTTAAGGCACGATCAACAATTTCAGCATACTTCTTCAACTTAAAAAGTTCCACTTTCTCCTCGACCTCTAGTCTCAAATTTCTTTGCTTTTGCAGACTCATCAGGAATCATGTAAGGAGCAAAATGCATAAGTTCTTCAAACTTAGCTTGATATTGTCCCACAGTCATATCACCTTGATAAAGATTAGTGAATTCACGTACCTTCATGGATTTCATTGTGTCAGAAAAGTATTTCTCTAGAAATATTGTCTCAAAGGCAACCCAAGTTGCATTCTCAACATCAGCCATAGCCAAGACAGATTCCAACTAATGATAAGCTTGTCCTTCCAAAATGACCACTCTCAGATTTCTAGGAACTCTTTGTTCATTCATATTTCTCCTCATTTGTCTTAACCATACTTCTACTGCCATAGGGTTTGGATCACCCTTGAACATAGGTAGCCGTGTCTTACGAAATTCTCCTTGAATCCTCACTAGTTAATTGTCCTGAGTTTCCTAATGGGGCTCATAGTTATTTGGATTTGTTTCACGAATAGCATAGGTCATATCCTGAATGGCTAGTATTACCCTCATACTACCATTTTCATCATTGTCATGTTGCCTACACTTAAATATAAAAATAAATGTGCCCCTGAAAAGCCATCTCATTAACTTACTTCACCATTTCAAACTTATTTTGTAGTAATACTATACCACAGTTCCCAAGGGTATCTAATCCCTAAAGCTCTGATACCATTTTGTCACGCCCCGGACCCGGGGGTAGGTGGAAATCCCGTGCCCGGTGCGTGAGAAAATAAAATAAAAAGAAATAAAATAAAAAGATGTCGAAACATGAGTTTAAAATAAACTTCTCTTATAAAAATACATCCAAAAACTTACAACTTTACAATAAATAAAGCTCTAACACTCTCATCTAATTCAGCCTCAACTGGTTTATTCCTTTTCTTGCCTACTAATTCATCTGAAAATTTAAACAAGGCGAGGGATGAGCAACCATAGCTCAGTAGGGACATGAGACCTTACCACAGTAGATTGATATAACTAAATTAAGTGACAAGCAATCACACAGCCAAATATCACATTAATAATAATAATATATAATAATAATGCATGAATGCTCTTCAATTCTAATCCCATTAATTCATATAATTGGACAAGCAGACCTGCACGTCCCATACCATGCTTATACCACTTGGTCCCGAATGCCCATTTATATGAACTAACACCCATTTCAATCATCTCATAATTCCCCTTTTGTTAGTTATCTTGTCTAACTCCCTTTCGCCAGTCCCGAATCACCCAATAAAAACCATGTGCACTGTGGGATCCCTGAGACCTGGTACCTGCCAAGAGTTAGACTCAACTACACAAAAGACTATTTCCATTACCCTCTTTTCCATTATTATCTTCTCCACCCAACAACTCCAACCAATTACCATGACATGATATAATTATGCCAACATTATTCAAATAGTTCACAATACATAAATATCTCATATCAAGAACATTATACAATATCACACATAATATAGAGTTCACGAAATTTAATTAAATCAATCTTCTGTAAAGGCTCCCAAGAAATCCCTACCTCGTTTCCAAAGCATTGCTCCAATTTAAGAAAATACAAGCTAAGCCTTATATCTCTTCCAAGAATTTCACCATCATCAACACACACTCTCTCTCTCTCTCTCTCTCTCGCTCTCTCTCTCTCTCTCTCTCTCTCTCTCTCTCTCTCTCTCTCTCTCTCTCTCTCTCTCTCTCTCTCTCTCTCTCTCTCTCTCTCTCTCACGTTGCATGATATCTCTTCCTTATTAACACTCCTATTTATAGGCAGTGAGATGGCGGTAATAATCGAGAGGATAATAACTAAAGCCACTCTCTTATCTTATACAAAAAGATAACTTGGTTGCCACTCTTTTATAGAAGCTGATATGTGCCAACGCCAGGAGATATATTTCCAAAGGCCATGCCACCTGTTGAACTTATAAACTCCTCCTCAAGCTAAGATAAAGCCTAGTCACCAAATTGTAAGCATGAGCTGTCCAAATGCATGGTAATGCATCAACTAATTTAATGGAAAAAGCCACCTCTAGCTTACTAATTTAAATATATCTCCAAATTAAGATAAGAGAGAACAATCTTTCTTTCCAAGAAAACAATGTAAGAATGCCACGTCTAAACTCTTAATCCATGTTATTAATATATATGTATATAAAGCACCCAATAACCATCTAATAGCATCCAAGGAATAATGAACAAATATATAATTTTTTTTTTTTTTTTTTTTTTTTCGAAACAAATATATAAACATAGTATATGTATGTATAATAATAAATAATATTAACTATTTGAATTATAAAAGTAAAACAAACTATAAAGAAAATGGACTCTCACATAGTTCTTGCTCAAACTTTTGAAACATTGTCCTTGTGTACAAGGTAGCCATTTGTTTGTTCATTGGCATCGGTAGAATACATTGAGCCACTTCAAATGCATCTACGTGATCAGCAACTAACTCTTTTTGACGTTGATGAGAAAGTGCCCTCTCAAATCTTATTATGAAATCCATCAACGAATTTTTCCTTGATATGTATTGCTTGAAGAAACCATGAGAACATTCAGCTCTTTGGCTGCTTGACATTCCAGCGGCAAAAAAGTGTCGTGCGTAGGCTGGAACCCAAGATTCCCTTAAATCAAACATTGAACTTAGCCCATGGATGGTCAGTCAAACCAGCCTTTGTAACCACAATATTCCATTTTGCATCAAACTCATCCTTATTGTCAGTATCCCATATGGCTTTCTGGAATTCACCCCAATACTCCTTATAAGCAGAATGTGGTAACTTAACAGAGAACTTTGATGTGATGTGCCATATGCAAAGTCGATGAAATGTAGTCGGGAAGGCTATTGAAATCGCTCTGCTCATTGCCGCATCTTGATCTGTGATGATCGTTTTAGGTTCGCCACCTGGCATGGCTTTCTTAAACTCCTCAAACATCCAAATAAACGACTCAGTCGTTTCCTTGCTCAAAAATGCGCATGCTAGGACAATTGTTTGACCATGGTTATTAACTCCCAACATTGGTGCAAATGTCAAGTCGTATCTATTCGTGTTGAATGTGGTATCGAATACAACAACATCTCCATAAAACCCGTACGCCCGTCTAGAAGTTGCATCTGCCCAAAAACATCGACTAAACCTGTTATCGCCATCTCCCTCAATCTTGAAATAAAAAGCCTCATTTTTTTTCTGTTCAGCCATAAAATACTCGGTCACTAGTTCAACATCGTGGTTCCTCAGCTTCTCATTCACACTACATTCAAGATTGTACATATCCTTTTTGATAAAACCGATTTTATCCATTCCTCCGGATTGCACCTCGAAAATACTTACCTTCTGATTAATGGGAATATTAACCGAACCCAACTGTTTTGTAAGTACTTTTGTAGAATCTGAAATACGACGGTGTGATCTCAGTAAATGCATTCTTCCTGAGGGTGTCATCTTATGATTGTGTCCCTCTGCAAAAAGAGAGATGGTATACTTCTTGCTCCCATGTGTCTTCACAACCACAATCTTAGCTTTGCAATTGCATCTACTTATTCCCCGCTGTCTTTTTCTCTCCCGAGTTTCATCATTCCGGTATGCACCTTGTTTGCAACATACAAATTCTTTTCTCAGAATCTCTTTCTTATTTTTCCCCCAAAAGCTGGAATGAAGTCGAATACCAAAGCCAGCCAAGAATGCATATCTATTATAGAAATTATAAACGAGGTCAAGCGAGTCGAACTTCATCCCAACTGCTGGTGTTTCCTCATTTCTTACTTCAGGAATGTAAACCCTCCCATTAGCTGTTACAGAGTCATCACTCTCTGAGCCCCCAGACATTTTATCCACGTATATTATTGATCTACTTCTATATTACTGCATAGCAAATGTTAATTCATTAATCAATCATTACTGCATCACAACTTATCAATGCATTCCACTTACACAAAACATTGCCCAAATTGACACAATACACGCATAGCCTAGCTTGTTGGATTCTGATTACACAAAACACAAGCAAAATTTAATAATAGTTACGTCATCTCTTGTGAAATAATCTGGAAAAAATAACATTAGAACCAACATGTTCAACTAAGAACTCAAATGTAATTCAAACCAGCAATTACAGAACTTCACCCAATATCCTCTCCAAATGCTTACTTCTAATGCCATTAAGCCTAAGTTTAGGATCTTTTACCTACATTTCATAATTTTCCAATCCCCCTCCAAACAAAAATAATCAACTAAGTATATTGAATATTCATAAGGAAATGACGCATTATTGATAGCAGAGCAAATGACGCATTATTGATGCCACAAATGACAAATTTCTCACCCTCACAAAAAACAAATCAAACCCAGCAAAATCAATCCAGCAAGAGTGAACTTACCTCTCAAAGTCAAATGACGCATTATTGATAGCAGAGCAAATGACGCATTATTGATGCCACAAATGACAAATTTCTCACCCTCACAAAAAACAAATCAAACCCAACAAAATCAATCCAGCAAGAGTGAACTTACCTCTCAAAGTCAATCGGGAGTTCCGAACTCAGTCAGCTTCAAAGAATGTGGTGGACATTAGAGAGGATTCTTTCGTAGTGGAGACTCCATCTCTACCAAAATCCAGGAACAACTGCAGCAGCACGAAAAAGAGATATGCTACTTTGCTTTCATCTGGAATCTCTTCTGCTGAACGAAAAAGAGAAGGGGTTTTCACTTCAATCATAGAATCAAAACAGGGCAATAGCTAGGTAAAAGCCATTAATCATCATACCGAGGATACCATAGATCGCAGGCCTCCCAAGGAGCTGATGACAATGGAGCGATTATAGAGTTTGGGAGCTTTGGATCTTTCTAATTGTGGATTTGCATTACATTAAAAAAGAGAGGATTGTGTTCTTGAGTTTTTCACAGAGAGGGAAAAATCTTCAGCTGAAGTTGGGTTTCCAAACGGGTCAGATTTCAACCCGGTTCTACATGCACCCTCTTTTAAAAACTCACCGTTGGATGAAATCCAACGGCTCTTACATACCCCTCAAAAAAACCCCTTATAACTTTCCACTCACTATAGAAGCACTCTTGTGTTCCTCCAAACGTTGGTCCTGGTACTAAGGCCAGAATTGTGTTTATGGGCTGTTATACTATGATCACAGTTCCACTTAGGCCTCTTTGGATTTGATACGTTTACATTTTTATCCGAGCTAGGGCAACTAGCTATCCCTAATGTGATTTGGGTGGGGACTCTTCAATAAGGTGAACTTCAATGACTATTTTCATGGTCATGATAATCCAATATTAGGGATTTTGGGGTTAGGCAAGGGTCACCCCACAGGTATTCAAAAATTATTATTATTAAGAAATTGTCGTGGAGCTCGGTGTGGAAAATAGGGAGCGGAAATTACTGGTGTGGAGCTTGAGGAACGCAGGAAAAATCAGAAACGGGTGTCATAATGGATGTTTATAAAAGGAAACAAGGGGAGAAAAAAATCACAATTCAAAAGACAAAAGCCTAGCTCTGCCAATTTTCTTCCTTCCCATTTCTCTCGATCTAAACTCAGAAATAAAATGGCCTCTTCATTCCCATTTTCTCTCGATCTATTGCCACGCCTAATTTTCATTTATGAGACTTATCATATTTTAGCACTGACTAGGTGTATTATTTTTTTGTTATTAATTAAATTTACTTGTGACGTCAAATTTTATTGTAAGATAAATCCAGCTCATGCCATTTTAAATTCATAGATCCGTCCCTGCCCTGAGGGGAATGCTTTTTCCAGCTCAAGAGAAATGTACCTCGCCCACTTTCTTTTCTATTTCCTCCCTCCTACTTCAAAATAAAGAAAATTATTTTCAACCCACCCCCACCTTCCTTCACTTTTTCCTCCTCCAACACAACAGGTAAATAAGTTAACTACGCATCAGTATTAGTCTAATAATCCTCGTAATGTACTATGAAAATGAACAGATAAATAATTTAATCAGCAATGAGATACCTTTAAAAGCATCTTGTATGCCTCTAAGACCATCTCCAACCCTTGGAGTGGAAACTCAAATTTTGAGTTTAGCCTCCAAAAACCATCTCCAACCCATGTATTTTGGAAGGTGAAAATGTGAGATGCCTCAAAATTGGACGGGAATTCCACCAAGAATTCTGCCTGGACTGATAAATCTGTGGGGGCCAATTCTACTTTAATAAATATTTTTTTATTGCATGATGTGAGAAGCCCATCACGTGGGCTATGTTGCTGGCAAGTGGGAATGAAGATTCCCTCTAGTTTATTGAAAAGCAACGACTATTTTTGTTTGTATGTTTTTTGTGTTTTTTTTTTTTTTTTTTTTTTTTTTTTTTTTTTTAAAAATATTAAAATAATCAACGACATCAAGATTCATTTTTAGGCAATCTCAACAATAAAATTTCACATCCAACGGCTCAAGCGATTGGCACATACCAAAACAACTAACAAAAAGGCATTACGGACTCATGCGCGTCAAATAAATGTCAACAATCCAACTGTAGTAACTAAAAAGTGAATTTCCAATTAGCAAGGAGCTGGAACAGAAGCATAAAAACTATCTCATTTGCCAACCAAGACAGATATGTGAAAAAGGAATCCACCCAAAAGCATAAATTTCAATCATTATGGTGAAGGCAAAGATACCATTCTTTTTATTTTTCTTTTAAGACAAGTTCATGTATCACAAGCGCATCACTTTTCCTCTTTAGATATACATTATCAGTAACAAGTATGCCAAAATCTTTTAATTTGGTACAGCAAACAGGACAAGAATAGAAAAGAAGGGATAGCAGATTGTCAAAAGGCAGTGTATACGAAAGGAAAGAGCAGGTCAAACCTTAATGTATTGAATGATCTTGCAGTTTCTAGGAAAGATTCCAAATGCGCACGCAATCTGGACTCCACCTCTGCATAATCCTCATCTGGGTTGTATGCAATAGCGTAATCAGAGCAAGAAAAAGAAGGAATCAACTGCACAACTTGGGGGAAGTTATAATTAAATAAAATGTACAATGAGTTACTGACAACCCAAATTTGAGGGAGCATTCACTGCCAAGAGTATAATGGACTTGGGAGGCATTGGGAAAGATTAAAAAAATCAGAAAAAGAAATTCAAAGTGAATAAGTGGCAACAAGGGAACGTTAAAACAAACATTCTTTTTTATTCTCTTTGGAATAACAAATATACTAAATATAAATGAATCTTTGGGCATCCTTTGAGTGATAGAGAGCGAGAGAGGAGAGCAGAAGTAAGGTAATGAATTTTACTACCAAATCCATATCCAAATTTAATTATTCATACATAATATAATAATTATGCAAATCCCAAGAACCAAAAATCATAAATAGAAATGAATATATATTACAAATTATATTAGAGAACCATAATTAAAGTTATTATCCATTTTTTTATGATAAGTAAATTACTTTTGTCTTTTCCCTTGCAGAATAATTTGCACAATTTCTTGAATGGCACGTATGAGAGTGATACATACAAGAATGCGGCCAATAGCTTTACAAGGTGGTTAAAAGATTTGTCCAAACCCAAAGGAGGGCCACGTGGCCTTTCGACCAATAGCTTTACAAAGTGGTTAAAAGATTTGCCTATTCAATTACTGGTTGAAACTAGAAGCCGATCAAGAATGGAATATAAAGAAAAGCCTCTCTTCGTTTGAAACTTTCTGTAAGATGAAGGGTCATTTGAAACCTTCTGTAAGATGAAGCTGGTTGGGGTGCGGGACTTGGCCTCTCACATCACCATCCCTCCATCAATGGTCAATACCAGGTGCTACAGCATTCGCCTATGGAAAAAAGAAAGCTTTAGATGGATAATTGCTTTAGGCCCACCATGTAAGACTGGAAATATGCAAGAAATTTAAAAATATATCTGCTTGAATGTTTAATGTCATGAAACAAACCACATAGCCATTGCTAAGTGTGGAGTGGGGTTACACGTATTAGCAGGCAAGCCCCACACACCGAAAACAGATAATAAAATTAATTAATTAAAAAAATTGAATCATATGCACATACATTAATGCTCCTGCTTGAATATTCCTTTGCAACACTCTTCGTAAAGCCAATTACTCCGGCCTTTGCAGCACTGTAGTTGGCTTGTCCAACATTGCCAACAAGACCAACAACAGATGCTATATTGATTATTCTTCCCTGAAATATGACCAACAGATTAAGGATCTAGAAGAAAAATAGGATTTTCACATTGACATAATAAAAGAAAGACAGAATTTGATTACCTTTCTCTGTTTCATCATAACTTTCGCTGCAGCCTGCAAAAAGCATGAACCATGCTAAAAAGATCAGACAATTCTAAGCTTGAACAACTATAATTACTAGATCAACATATGCCCGAAACTACACACCTGTGTGCACAGAAACACGCCAGTAAGATTCAAATCAATAACCTCTTGCCATTGGGAGGTCCTCGTCGGCACACTCGCACCACACGGCAGAGTGACTCTGATACCAAATTGTCACATCCTGGGATCGACTCCGCCGTAGCACGATATTGTCTGCTTTGGGCCCCCCTCTCTGCCCTCACGGTTTTGTTTCTGGGAGCTCACGAGCAACTTCCCAGTGGGTCACCCATCCTGGGATTGCTCTATCTCCAACTTGCTTAACTTTGGAGTTCCCATGACTCCGAAGCCAGTGAGCTCCCAAAAAGCCTCGTGCTAGATGGGGGCGGGCGTGTACATATAAGGCACATCACCCCCTCTCCGTTGGTCGATGTGAGATGTTACAATATATTGATGGTCTATGGTTTTGGGAATTTTAAATATGGTGTTTTGGATTTTATTATCTTGTCTTGTGGGATTTTCAGAAGTATATTTCCTAAGTATATGAATAGTGTTTTGAATATTAATAAAATCGAATGGGCTTATTTAGTTTTGGTGTTTTTCTTAATTATAGTTTTAATATGACTTGCAAAAAGAAAGTATGAGTGTTATTTTATTATATATTTATGTTATATGGAAAAGATTTGTTTTGGAAATTGAATTTTGAGATTATTATTTTTATTATATATTACTTTATGAAAGGGGATTTTGGATCTTGGTGATGACACGCCATCTCATGTAACCCCAACCCCCCACCACCACCACCACCACACCCACCCCCCCTCTCTTCTCTCCTTTAATACACGTGTTTTTACAAAATTGTCAACAATACACACAAAATTCACATATTATGCACACAATTTTTACATATTATTAAATAAAAATAATATATATTGAAATATTATATAGTGGCCAAATTTTATGTTCATATGCTTGGTTGTAAGGTAAGGTTTTTTTTTAAATTTTCTTTCATTAGAGTATAGCCGCGCGGCTACACTCTATTTTTTTTGACCTTTTGGTTTGTACTAAACAGTATTCTTGAAACATATGTTGCAAACATCATAACTGTACTTAGTAGATGACTGTAATATATCAATCTGTACACAGATGGAAGAAAAAGCTTTTTTTTTTTTTTTTTTTTTTTTTTTTTTTTTTTTTTTTTTTTTTTTTTTTTTTTTTTTTTTTTTTTTTTTTTTTTTTTTTTTTTTTTTTTTTTTTTTTTTTTTTTTTTTTTTTTTTTTTTTTTTTTTTTTTTTTTTTTTTTTTTTTTTTTTTTTTTTTTTTTTTTTTTTTTTTTTTAAAAGATTTTTTTTTTTTAAACGGGGCCAAAGAAACCTTCTTTTTTTTTTTTTTTTTTTTTTTTTTTTTTTTTTTTTTTTTTAATAAATAAATAAATTTTTTTTTATAAAAAAAAAAACCCAAAAAAAAAATGGTTCCGCTGCATCAAGATGGAAGAAAAAGCCTATGTGTCCTTTCCACACATGAGAACAGATGAAATGTTATTTGACAACAAAATCTTGTCAATGTGTAAAGTTGTTGTGCGAAAAATGCAATCAAGGGAGAAATTGACAACTGAGGAAATTAAACCAAATATGAAGAATTAAAGTCAAATGGGTGGGTTCTACCATTACTTGGTTCGAGGAACTTGTAACTTCTTCATTTTAGATTATACATAAACTATTGTAGTTCAAATTAGCTTGATGGGAAGGTGGACAAACTTTAGTGGTGTAGGGGGTGAGACAATATTTGTATGAATTCCATTGGGAATCAGCTTAGCTTGAGCCTTGAGGGTTAGTGGTTTTGACCTGCTGCCCCATTTGCAATATCTTGGGGAAACTGCTCCTTGCACATATCTATATGTAATTCTAGCTTCAAAGTGTTTTCTTTGAGTGTAGAATTGTGAAACCACTTGACAGAATAAATGGACTTGTTTTTTTATTTATTCTTTTTGTAATTAAATGAATGTATTAACAAAAAGGAGGGCAAATCCTACCAATAGAAGACAATCCCAAGCTAACAATACAACAAACCCTAATAGCAATTAGCTCATAGGGATCTTCCAATCTGCAACAAGATAGGAGTTAGCAGGTGAGGTTTTAAACACTCTATAGAGCACAGCGTACCTAATAGAATTCTGCAATTACTGAAAATCCTACAATTTGAGTGTTACAGCAAGGGAGCAAGAAGCGTTTCTGAAAATCCTACAATTTATTTCCTTCCAAATGTAGTAAACAAAGGCAGCAAACAGAAGTCTAATTCTGCTTATTCAGTACGTAATCTCTCTTGCACATCAAGATGCTATATATTACATTGTTTGATTCGCATCAGCAATCAAAACGATTTCTGTAGAATTTGTTACTGTTGATGCACTTGTGGTACTTGAATTGTCCCCAGGAGCCACTTCTGGCATTTGTTGTGGATACAAAAAAGGCTTTGGAGGCATTTCAAGGCACTCAATTTCTCCTTCAAGCATCTCGACTGCTTTATTCATAGACGGACGGTCACTAGGCTTCATTTGTATGCACCACAATGCCACAATGATCATCTTCTTTATGATCTTCTCTTCCTCCTCTGTGGCGTCTTCAACTTTTATGTCCTTTCCATCACTCAATTGGTCAAAAACCCATGTTGGAAAGTATATTTGGCTTGACTTCTCTATGGTTGCATTTAAATTCTTTCTTCTGCCAGCCATTTCCATCAACAGCATTCCGAAACTATAGACATCAGCTTTGTATGAAATACCTCCAATGTTTTTATAGAATAACTCTGGTGCTATGTATCCGATAGTTCCTCTTGCTGCCGTCAAAGATACAATGCTATTATCAAGCGGGCATAGCCTTGCTAATCCAAAATCAGACACCTTGGGAAGAAAATTCTCGTCAAGAAGAATGTTATGAGGTTTGATGTCAAAGTGCAGAATTTGCATGTCACATCCTCTGTGCAAATATTCAATACCACGAGCCACTCCAAGAGCAATTTCAAACATTTTCTCACAATTCAAAGAGATAACTCCTTGTTGAGAAAATAAGTATTTATCAAGAGATCCATTAGGCATGAAGTCGTATACGAGAGCACGCTTTGAACCCTCAACACAGAAGCCAATGAGTCGCACCACGTTGACATGGTGAATCCTTCCAATGGTAGCAACTTCATTGATGAAGTCTTGCCCATTAGCTTTGGACTTACCCAACATCTTGATGGCTACCAGGCGACCGCTACGAAGCTTTGCCTTGTATACCGAGCCATAGCCTCCTTCACCCAATTTTTCCTTGAAACCTTTGGCCATCTTTTTTATGTTTGAGTAAGAGTACCTTACTGGCACGAGCTTATTGTTCTGCAAAAAGTCTTCTATATTGTCATGCATTGACAAGTGCCTCCTTTTCCATTTGTATATTATGAATGCAATTGCACAGGGAAAGCCAAACACATATAAGACTGTGTGCAATATTCCTGCGCAGTTCACAAAAAGTGGACTCAATAGAGACATTAATTGATTGCTACAATACTATCACATTTTCCTTAGTACAACATTTTTCATTAGTGAAGGGCCCGGGCGTCGGTAGCCTTCTCGTGTTTAGTTTTTAGTTGTTGCTTTTAATCAGTTTTCTTTTTGTGCAACATTTCATTCCATTTTCTCTCCCTCTCCTCCTTTCTTTCTCATTTTGTCTCTCTATCTCTTCAGCTAAAACTGCAAATTGCTACACAGTAACTGATTTCAAGTAGTTCACATTACCTAGGTAAGAGATTACACAGGTTAATGGAAGCAGATAAAGGGGGACACCCTGTAGCACTTGTGGGTGAGCGCATAGAAATACACCCGGAATACCCATTCTGAAACACAAGTGAAAAACTCGATCATAAATTCATAATTCAATTAAGTATACTTCGATGAAATTAATGCTACTTTGAATTATATGTATGTTGGATTAGAGAGTCAGCTACTTTGCCTGGTATAGAGGGTATGAACCGTAAGATCTCCGACAGTATCTCCCATTTTTCCTGCATTGCAAAAGAAAATAAGATTCATATTTTGCATACAAAAAGATCATAATACATTATTAGAAATCAATATGTCATAGCCTCCCGTAGTTGATAAAAACTCTCTTCCTATTTCTTTGATCAGTATCTCTAACTCTAACATAATATATCTATAGTAGATGACTGTAATATATCAATCTCTACACATGAAAACAGCGTGAAATGTTATTTGACAACAAAATCTTGTCAATGTGTAAAGTTTCATATCCATCCCATTCTTATCTTTCTCACCAAGGATAGAGAGCATGCTCTGATACCATGTTATTGTGAAATAATTCGGTAATGATTCTGTGTCTATTTAAAAGGGCAAAGCTCGATATACAAGACAATGAAACTAAGAATGGTAACCTATACAAGTCAAAAGTACAATCAAGCGAGAAATTTGACGACTAAGGAAATTTACCAAATATGAAGAATTAAAGTTAAATGGGTGGGTTCTACCATTACTTGGTTCGAGGAACCTCCAGACTTTATTAGTGATCTCTTATTTGAGGAATGTAACATGTAATTTTTCTACGGGCATGATCTTAGGGGGACATGGGGTACTCTATCGGTGGTTAGGTTCCTACCCCCGCTTTGCGGTTGAGTGGGTAAGACTACTAAGTTAGTCGGATGACCTGATGATCGAGACTGTATGTGTAGATAAACTTGCCTAATTCCCAACGACATTGTCCGATTTTTGTGGCACTGTTACTTATTCCCTGTATCAAGCAATAATACTATCGCTCTTTTCTATAAAATAAAAAAAATGAAAAAACAGTAGTCAAATGAATAAATAAGGCTTGGTGGGAGGTGAAGAAGATATTTAACAGCGCTGCATATTACTGACATCATCTGGAGGATCGAGAACAAATATGTTGACTCTAGCTAGCGTTATTGAATAAGTGAAATCATTAACAGATGCACTATAGTACCTTTTATTGGAGGGCACTTGGTTTTACTCACGTCGTCGAGCGTGCAGTTCTCCTTACCCATTCTACATAAGTTACATGCACCGTTAAACCATGAGAGCTCAAAGCCGCTCGCTATTTCATTATATATACCTTCACAGGACAAGTTCCGGTGCAGATCTGTAGATGTTGAAGGTGACACCACAACCATTTGTGTTATTCTGCAGGACTCCCCCAAATCGAATGAACTTATGTTGCCAATCATGACATAAGAAAACATTCTTAAAGTACTGGACAAAGAAGAATTGGCAGAATTGTTGATGCATGGAGCTGTATCAATAAGGCGAGGAGAATGCATTGGATTTGCACAGCTGATAAAAATTATAGGCACTTCACGTATCGCTAGACTATACAGTCGGAGTTCTTGAATATCTTTGTCGCTATTATAAAAAACAGATGAAAAAGGATCTCCACGCTCACTAAGGTTGTAGGAGGTTAAAGAGTAAAGTGGGTTGGAGAAGTAGTTGTCTTTCTTCTGAACACCAGCATCCACAACTCGGATTGTCCAGTCACTGTAATTGATCGCCTTTACGTAATACCTTCCCGAATACAAGCACATTACTGTAACATTTTCCCAACCACAATATAGCTCAAATTTGTTGTAGCCACAATTTTGAAGGCTTCCCTTTAATTGAAATGGATACGTTATGTTGATATTGCCACAAAGGGTGGATGTTTGGAAACAGAAGGAACAAGGAACAAGGAGAAGGAGAAGGGCTATGTGTGCAGCATATAGAAGACTTCCTCTAGACATAGTGAGAGAGAATATTAGGAGGAAGGGAAGCGGCATATCCAATCCAATAGGAATTTATCAAAATTATGGAAGAGCACAGATTAATTAGACAACTTAGGTTCTGGCTATGGCCATTTGGAAGGCAAGCGATAAGCTGCTCAGTCAACCAAAAGCAAAGTCACCAAACAGAAAAAATTAAATATTAATGCTTATGGAAATTAAATACTAAACCCTTGTTGGTTTAGTGGTTATCGTTTTTGTTGTTTTTAGTGTTCAAATCATCTATCCGTCGTTGATAAAAATAATTTAGTAAATGCATTTGAACCAGTCCACACATCAATTCAATCATATATATATATATATATATTAAGCTAAATCTTATATATCCATATCTGTCGTATACAATCAATTAATAACTTAGCAAGAGACCGGAATGCTGCAAGCCATTTTTTTGTTAGAATAATGCTTCTGATCAATTTCTTATGCTGGTTGCTCATAGTAGCAGATGTTGATGCCATCCATGGCGGAGCAGGCCTTGAAATTTGCAGAGAAGCAAGATGTAAACCAGATGGCCCAGCCATCCGATTCCCATTTAGACTTAAAGGTAAGCAGTCAATCCATTGCGGTTACCATGGCTTTGATCTATCATGCACTAACGAGAACCAGACTCTGCTCGAGATGTCATCTCCATCTAACAACCTTTTCGTTGAAAAGATTAAGTACACATCTCAGGAGATTGAAATGGATTACCACAATATCCCACCGGGAAATATTTTTAACTTCAGTTTATCTTCTTCTCCCTTACAATTTGTACCCGGACACAATTACTATAATTATACCCTATTTAGGTGTTCATATCCAAGGGAAAGGAATGTATACACACGCTTTTGTATGATGCAATTGAGCCCTTCGGACCTTGCCAATCCTGAAAACGGTATATATGCTGTCAACACTCAATGTTCTGTTGATAGACTGCCCCTAGACTCTTGTACCAAGCTGCATGACTATACATCAATTCCAGACATATCATCCCTTCCAATGAAGTTGCATTGGTCCAAACCATCATGTCGACATTGCGAAGAGATGGGCAAGGCATGTAGATCAAAGATTAGTGAATATAGTCTTGCACATGTTCAGACTGCAGAAAGCGAATGTTTAGATTTCCCTGAAGGTATCATTTAACTAAACTTGGCTTTGTTGCAGCAGTACTTTGAAAGCAAATATTATTTATTTTCAGTCATTCGATCCGATTAGTCAGGACTCATAATTATATGGTTGATAGCAGAAGTACTTTATTAACTTAAATAACAACTTTTACAGATAGTAGCCGTAGAGGGACTCGCATAAAGATATCAGGTGAGTTGTCCATAAATTAAAGCACTTGCATTAACTGCTGGACTATAAATCTGAATCACATGTAATTAGGATAATTTTTGTCAACTCTATCTGCAGTTTGCACAATTTCTGTGGCTCTTATAGCGGTGGGGGCTCTCATCATCTACCATGCCTATAGCTCCAAGAAATATTAGACAAAAAAAATCAGTTGAGGATTGAAAGATTTTTGGAAGATTACATAGCTCAGAAGCCAAGCAGATATTCCTATGCTGATATTAAGAGGATAACAAATCAATTCAAGGACAAGTTGGGGCAAGGGGCCTATGGAACAGTTTTTAAAGGGAAGCTTTCCTCTGAATTGCTTGTTGCTGTGAAAATCCTCAACAATTCAAATGAAAATAATGGAGAAGATTTTACAAATGAAATGGGAACAATGGGTCGCGTGCACCATGTCAATGTGGTTCGCTTGGTTGGCTTTTGTGCTGATGGGTTTATACGAGCTCTTGTGTATGAATTCTTACCAAATGGCTCATTACAAAACTTTTTATCATCAGCAGATAATAAAAATTCTTTCCTTGGTTGGGATAAGTTGCAAGATATTGCTTTAGGTATAGCCAAAGGAATTGAGTATCTTCACCAAGGGTGTGACCACCGAATCCTCCATTTCGACATCAAACCCCATAACATTTTGCTAGACCAGAATTTCACTCCGAAAGTTTCCGATTTTGGTCTAGCCAAGTTATGCGCAAGGGATCAAAGCGCAATATCCATGACAACCGTCAGGGGAACCATGGGCTACATTGCACCCTGAAGTGTTCTCTAGGAACTTCGGTAGCGTGTCCTACAAGTCAGATGTTTATAGTTTCGGGATGTTGTTGCTGGAAATGGTTGGTGGCAGAAAAAACTTTAAGGTCATGGAGGACTCCACCAGCCAGTCTACTTCCCGGAATGGATTTATAACCTTTGGAACAAGGGGACGACCTAAGGATCCATATTGAGGATGAAGGAGATGCTAAATTGCAAAGAAACTTGCCATTGTGGGTCTATGGTGCGTCCAATGGCACCCAATAGATCGTCCTCCAATGAAAGTTGTAGTTCAAATGTTAGAAAGAGAAGGCGACAATCTAACCATACCACCCAATCCTTTCTGCTCTACTTCGAACTGAATGAATACAACTATACTGTCTGCAAGGCATCTGGACATTTGCGTACCTGAAGAGTTCTACCAGTCACCATGATTTGATATGAGATCATGCACTGTAATATTAAATAACATGTGGTGTTGAATATCGTAGTATATGCTAAGTGTTTGGGTTTGAATTTGTCATGAGTCAAATTGTAGTATATGCTAAGTGTTTGAATTTGAATTTCTAAACAAATATCATTTCAGATTTCATAGATTTTGGAGATTTCCCAGAGAGTTTCCTGCGAGATTTCAAGCCTTCTTGAAGCCACTCAGATTACATTGTAGATCGTTTTGCAACCACGCGTTAGTAAGATTTCCAGTTGATGTATCATTCCCCAACTATGATTCCTTAAGTTTTGTTGCAATTATTCGGTTAGAGAAGAAAATTCCTCAACCATAATTTCATTCAATTACTTTACATTTTCCATAACAATGTCACTATTTGCTCTAAATTAGTGATTCGAGCTGGTTTTCTATACTACTTCAGTTCATCTTGTTACTTTCTTGCACTATAGAAATAGTGAAGTCCTTTATTCATCGAAGACATAGCGACGAACTTATATTGAGCCAGTTCCCCACTCAATCACAATTCTCAACAAGTTTATTATTGAGCCAGTTCCCCACTCAATTCATACCAATTTCCAAGAAATTTTGCTTCATAATGCTAAAAAATTTCTTGAAAGTTTCACTGATGTTGAAGTAGCGAGAAGATAGATAAGAATCTAAGAGACATGTGAGATTTGAACTGAATTTTTTTAACCTGCAGGAAGCATGTTTGGCTAACTGATTGTAATGGCAAACTTTGAGATGATCCAAGGCCTGCAGGAAGCATGTTGGCTGATTTAGAATGATGACAACATCATTATTTTTATCATATTATTTGAACTACAATTGCAATGTGAAGAAATAATTTAGTCCGCCACACCATTACATTATGTGAATAAACACAACTGTACCGAATAACCTACATATTAATAATGCGTTCACGAAATTAGTCATAATTACCAGTTTAGTTCGCTTGTCATAATCTTGACTTGTTAAAATGTTTATTTTTGTTTGTCAAGTTAGAAAGGAGAAGGGGAATTTTCTTAAGCACAATCGGGTCACACTTTGGCTAGAAGTTGCTGTAAACTCTTCCCAAACTCCAGCATTTCATATAAAATTTATATTAATTTCTGTGACTGTTGAGAAAATATTGAAAATCTGTATTGTTGACCCCCAAATAATAAATAAAAATTATAAATTAATTTCTATTTTCCTATCATGGCGTAGCTAATGAAGTTAAGTGCAAGTTTCCAAAACTTATTATTATCTTTTGTTAGGCGGCGAATTAGTTATTACCAAACTATATATAATGAAGCACTCCAATGATAGACTAAATATATCAATTTTTTATATATGAATATATAATTATCCGCCATAGACTGTTTTGCCAACCAATCCTTTGTCTTTTTTCTTGGCATTGTGCAAGACCAAAGACCTCATTAGATGAAGAGCATTCATGCATTATTATTATTGATATGATATTGACTGAGTGATTGCATATAACTTAATTTAGTTATATCAATTTACCATGAAAAGTTTATGTCCTTACTGAGTTGTGGTTTCGCTCAACCCCTAACAGATTTTACAGGTACTAAACCTAAAATCTAGGACTGTAATGATTTTGGTATATCTATAGAGTGTATTTGGGTACATAGCTTGTGGTTAATAATGAGCTAGAGTAATTCTAACTTGTAAATAATGTAAAAATGTAAGATTTCGGATGTTATGTTTCCACTGAAAATTCTATTTGAAATATTTATTTATTTATTTATTTATTTAATTTTCTTCACATTTTGGTTGTAGTTTTATTAAATTCTATAATTAAGGTGAATCACATCTTAATCCAAGATTATGTAAATCTGTGGAGTGGGGGCGTGACATTAATTTATCAATGTTGTTTGATCATGACATGTTACTAATTAAGAGCATCTCTAACAACCTCTTCAACAACTTTGGAATTCTAAAATAGGCAAGCCACAACAAAAAAACTCTCGTCAATAGCCTCTTCAACCTCAGTTCATCAAAGTTATAACCTCTTTCTCTCTCTTCAGGACTAGTAAATTGACTTTGGCTCTTCAAACATTTAATTTTACTTTGGAAAAAAACAAACCTACCTTGAAAATGTTAAAAACATGCATTTTTTTTGTTTTCATATAATAATATATTGACATTTTTCACATGTTTCATATTTTTCATTCTTTTTCATGGTATTGCATTAATTGAATTGAAGAATATGTTGAAGAAAAAATTATTCAAGTAGCAAATAAAGCTTTTCAAATTGCCACGTAAGGCAACAAACTTCAATTTGAAAGAGTTTTATTTGCTACTACTGTTTGAGATGTCCTAATAGATGAAAAGCTTAATAAGTAATACTATTATGAAATTGTGCAATTCAAATATATGAATTTTTTTTATATAAAGAAAAGCGATAATTGTATTTATAAATTATGCACAACATCACTCACAAGGGCAAATATATAATTCCATTTTTAATCTGAAAATGATAGACTAAATATATCAATTTTTTTATATATGAATATTTTAATCATCCCGAATAGACTGTTATGCCAACCAATCCGTTTTCTTTTTCTTGGCATTGTGCAAGACCACCTTGAGGGGTCAAAAGTCCTCGCAGGGTTTTATTTATACACTGGCATAATCATATTACTTGTGTAGAATTTTCAAGGAAGATCCGAAAATCAAGCGAGTGACAATGCAACACTAGAGGAGTAATTGTGTATACCATAGCAACATCGTGAGACACAAAAAATAGAAAAGAATATTAGGGCTGGAAAAAAAAATTGAAACGAAATGCAAAACATGAAAATTAAGAGTAATCAGATAATTCCAAGGCATTTAGAGGGCAATAAAAATACCCAGAAATTTTAAAATATATATATATATATTTAAAAGAAGTTGTGATTTGTTCATTTGTTACTTGTATTTTCAGTCTATATGAAGGATACTAATGTGACCAACTAGTGGGAAATTTCAATTTCTTATAACGATACTTGTTTATTCAATTTCTTTGTACGATTGAAACTTTCTAAGTCTTTAAGAAATAAAAATAAATCTGTTGGAAATTTTGTTGGAAGTTTGAATGAAATTCAAGGACTTTTGTCTCACATTGGTAGAAAGCAGAAAGAGTGAGGTTTTTATAAGTGTGGAAGTCCCATAATTAGTAAATGGAAGTTCGGCCAAGTGGAATCAAATTGGGCTTCAAAATCGATTTAGGCATTGAATATTATATAAATAATATATTCTATTTAATTGTCAAAAAGATGGGCCCTTGGACCTTGGGCGCCTTCATATTTAAATTAATTTTTTAGTTTCGAATTAATAATTTTTTATTCATTTGTATTAGTTTAATTAATTATTTTTAACAATTATGACTCTTCTGATAAGGTTTCAAAAGTTTATTTAAATCAAACAAAGCCTCATTCATCAAACACAGAAAAAGCATTCTATAAGCATTTCATATTGTCCGAGACGAAAACAAAAAAAATTCACCATATTCCAAGTCCTAGTGCTAGGGCTTAGAATAGAGGCACCCACCTGTAGAACTTCAAGCATCGAGAAGGGGTGAAATTACTGTCTTTAGGACATTGCATCAAATCTGCAAGCCTCTATCTCGAATCCAAGTCAGTTTCATTTATTATTTGTTTACTATATTTTGAATTACAGTTTGTTATAAATACAATTTGCTGGTTTATATATATATATATATAATCATTCTAATTAGTTATTTATTGTTATTTTTCCAACAAATTTTACTAATCGTGCCTTGATACCTTAATAATTAACCAATATTTTTATTAGAATTTCTAGAAGATATCATAACTTCGAATTCCTCCTTTCATGTTGATAAAACTAAAATACAAATTAAAGAAGATTTTCTGTGTATCATTCTTTTCATATTGCCTTATCTATACTTTTTAGTATCATATATATGTGATGGATTTGTTGGGTTTTGGGTTTTTGAGTTTTTCTCTTCACTCTTATCTAGTATGTACATCAATCACTGACCAATGATTGTTCTCTAGTTCAAGTGAAGTCAGCGCTTGACCGTTATTGTATTCTAAGGATATATAGCTTGAGTAATTGACTAAAGAAGGTAATAAATAAACTTAAACTGTACTTGAGATTTATATCTTTATAGACTTTTATTCAGTTTCTTTGTATGAAACTTTCCAAGTCTTTAAGAAATACAAATAATTTATTGGAAATTTTACTAATCTTGTCTTTGACAGCTTAATAATAAAAGAATATTTATGATATAAGGAGCTTTCTAGTGGCACATTTTTCTTTTCTTTTGTCGGAAGATATTCTAAGTTCGATCGAATGAAATTTTAAAGATTTCTCATTGCAAATTAGTAACATTAGTTTAGATTTCTTTGTATCAATCTTTTTCATATTGACTTGTGCTCATTTGATTCCTGTCTATTTACTTTTTAGTTATTATATATATATATATATATATATATATATATATGTAAGATGTCATGGTTTTGTTTGCCTCTTGCACTTCCTTTTCACTTTTTTGTTTTTTGGGCTTTTTTTCCACTTCTATATTAGTGGTATGTACATCAATCAATTGGCACAAGTTTCATTTCTTTCAAATAGAAGGGAAGTGACCAATGATTATTCTCCTAGTTCATGTGAAGCGTTGGCAAAAAGTCATATTAACTCAATAATTGATTATCACTTCAACGGTACGGTATATTTATTCTAAGAAGAATGATTGAGTACTTGACTGAATAAGGTAATAAATAAATATTAATTGCACTTGGATGGTTGTTTCTTAAACTTTTTTTATTCAATTTCTTTGTATTATTTGAAACTTTCCAAGTCTTTAAGAAATACAGATATATCTCTTGGAAATTTTATTAATTTTGGCGTTGAAATTTTTTTACAATGTGTTAGGATAAGGGAGTTTAATTTTTTATAGAATTTGTAAATGACGGAACTTGAACACCTTAATAATAAAAGTACAAATATGATTTAAAGAAGATTCTAATGATATTTCTCTTTCCGAAGTTGGAAGAGATCCACGTATTATTCTCTACTTTTTGAAGTATTGTCAACATGCGCCGAAAAATTTCAAAAGCAACAAATTTTCTTTCTGATGTTGATTTTGAAGTTTTTCGCCTACAATATGTGGACAACAGTTAGAAAAATATATCAATAATACTTGAATCTCACTTATCTCCCTCAATTAAATTTTTGGGCTTTTCACATATAAGTCCTTTTTAACTTTACATTTTTTTGGGCCAAATTTTGGTCTTTACATTTGAAAAACAAAAAATTAATTAGAAAACACCTTCTACTTTTGAGGGCTTTTTCTTCCCATTACCTCTCTAAATGTTTTTGTATAGTGCTTTTCCTAATTTATTACAATTTTTTAGATGCTTAATTTTTTGTTTTTAAGTGGTTAGTTCTTGAAGTCAATTTCAGTACATTGCTATCAAAATGGTCACATGATGCACACCTGACTAAATTGTTCAGGATCAGGACTAAATTGGTTTCTTCTCACGCTTCTCTTTCTTCCCTTCACTATCCACTCCCATCCCCTTCCCTTTTCTCTCGTCTCATCAAGGCCATAGCTGCAAGTGCCGTGGTCTCGTTCTTTGAAGCACACCCAAATGGGCTTTGGACTTTGGACTTTGGGCTCCTTGTGCTTGTAGTCTCACATGCACGAAGAAAATCTAGAAATATAATTTAAGACTAATTGGGAACTCAAGCGAGACTCGGGTTTTGTTTTTTAATACAAGCATAATCTATTACTCTATATTAATCTAATCTACGGATATGGAAATTCAAACTTGAGTGTAAGTATTAGTTTTTAGGGGTGTGCTTCATTTTACTGGAAAGTAAACAATCACGCCATGTCTCTAGAATTTACTCAGATGATACTCAGATCCCCAAATATGACATTGTTGGGCTGGCCCGTGCTCAACAATTCTAATCAAGCCATCACTAATCTTGGACAAGAAAAATCCGTGCTCAAAATGAAAAGGAACATTGATTTTCTTCTTCCCATAAATTCCACTCTCTTGGTCAAATGAACATGGTGAGAGTTCAACGCACAAAAGACTATCATGGTTGACAATATGAACTCATAATCGATATTACATTTAGTTCGCTTTCATGCAACACAAATAAACCACATTTTCATAACATACATCTGCATTCCCAGAAGATGAGGAAGAGACTGAATTCATGGCCTTCCTCCCAATGACTATAATAATTTTGTTATAAATTCACCTCCCCACCTTGCTCGCGAGCAATGGAAGCCGAGAGAATTCCAAGGTCACGATTTAAGAATGTCAATGCAGATTCACATTCAGAGATTATTCTCGTGACAGACGAGGGCTCACCCGCAACTGAGTCAGATGATCCGACGGCAAGAGCTGCGTGGGAGTCTCTAAGATTCCTCAAGTTCCCTAGGAACTGCAGTCAATGCAAGGGACAGGAGACACCTCATTAGAAATTCATGGTCATGCCAATAGTACTAGTAAAAATCCATGATACTAGTAAAAATGCAGCATCATTCACTTTATTCATTTGCACTGCTCCATAACCAAGTAACCCCAGCTCACCTCACCTAGAAACTCCACACCCCCTTGCCCCTTGCCCCCTGCACCTACACCACACACTCTCACGCAAAAACACACACACAAGAGGTCATCAGGAAGTAATACCATGTTGTTGACCAAAAAAAAAAGTAATACCATGTTGAGGAGCAAGAGAGAGAATTGGAGGAGAGAATTCAATAGACAATTTTGGCAAAGGTTTTCTGCTACTGTTCGGTTGAATAACATGGGAGGATTGGAAACATAAGGAGAATGGATGTTCCTTGTTTAATCTTTTGAAAGAATTTGAACTAATTGTGCCACGGTTGAGCCTTTCTGTCCAATTACTACATAGACAACACAATGTCTCACTTTCAGAGGTGGCCCTTGAGTTCAGGGGAAGCGAGGGGAAGCAAAGAAATCCAGAAATGGTTCAATTACCATACTGCCTCTTTCTTAATGTACAAAAAAATTTGGTCCCCAATTTTAAGGGTAAAAATAAGTTAGACATGCAGTCCCCCTGTTTCTCGTATTCTATTCTGGAATAAAAAAGGGCTTCCCCATGTTCAAGGAAAATCCTTTCCTGACCTTGAGGGGAATGCTTTTTCCAGCTCAGGGGAAAAGTACCTCGCCCACTTTCTTTCTATTTCCTCCCTCCTACTTCAAAACAAAGAAAATTATTTTCCCCCACCCCAACCTTGCTTCACTTTTTCCTCCCCCACCACAACAGGTAAATAATTTAACTACGCATCAGTATTAGTCTAATAATCCTCATAATGTACTATGAAAAATGAACAGAAAAATAATTTAATTAGCAATGAGATACCTTTAAAAGCATCTTGTATGCCTCTAACAAGCGATTGGCAGCTGGCCCAAACCCATGGAGCTGGGGTACCTCCATCATGTGTGTCCAGGGACGTATTTCCTACAAAAGCATGACATTTCAAGGTTGCAGATAAGCGTACATAGCTAATACACATGCACACACCAAAACAACTAACAAAAAGGTATTACGGACTCATGCACATAAAATAAATGTCAACAATCCAACTGTAGTAGCTAAAAAGTGAATTTCTAATTAGCAAGGAGCTGGAACAGAAGCATAAAAACTATCTCATATGCCAACCAAGACAGATACGTGAATAAGGAATCCACCCAAAAGCATAAATTTCAATCATTATGGTGAAAGCAAATATACAATTCTTTTTCTTTTTCTTTTAAGACAACAACTTCATGTAACACAAGCACATCACTTTTCCTCTTTAGATATACATTATCAGTAAGAAGTACGCCAAAATCTTTTAATTTGGTACAGCAACCAGGAAAAGAAAAGAAAAGAAGCGATAGCAGATTGTCAAAAGGCAGTGTATACGACAGGAAAGAGCAGGTCAAACCTTAGTGTAAATCGTGTTGAATGATCTTGCAGTTTCTAGGAAAGATTCCAAATGTGCACGCAATCTGGACTCCACCTCAGCATAATCCTCATCTGGGTTGTATGCATGCTATATGCAATAGCGCATAATCAGAGCAAGAAAAAGAAGGAATCAACTGCACCAACTTGGGGGAAGTTATAATTAAATAAAATGTACACTGAGTCACTGACAACCCAAATTTGAGGGAGCATTCACTGCCAAGTGTTTAATGGACTTGGGAGGCATTGGGGAAGATAAAAAAATCAGAAAAAGAAATTCAAAGTGAATAAGTGGCAACAAAGGAATGTTAAAACAAATATATTTTTTTATTGTCCTTGAAATAACAAATATACTAAAATATAAATGAATCTTTGGGCATCCCTTGGCACTATCGAGGACATTACTACACATCTCTTCTCTGCAATGAAGCATAGGACAAGTGAAGGTCAAACGGAATGGAAAGATAGGGAGGTGGTGCTTTTAGGTATCAGGAGTTAAAGAAACTGACTGCCTTCATGAACAATATGATTGAGGGTAATGACAGAAGAGTGGGTGATGTGTACAAGAGAAAAAAGCAGCAGTAGGATATTGTTTTAAAATGCAGATGAATTTATTCACTGCTTTAAATTGTACAATTTGGTTAGAGAATAATCATATGAATAGCTGGAATAATGCAAGAAGATCTAAGTTGAGGAACAGAAACAAACCTTTGATGCCAAATCGTCAACCTTCTGTTGAAGACTTAAGAGTATCTTTGATTGTTCTGAAAGCTTTTTTTCCAATTCAGAAACATCAGGCCTGCAAATGACCTTTGATTAAACGAACAGAATGTTATTGTATCTAATGAAATAAGTAGTTCAAACTTAACTTATGCAATCAACCTGTCTAAGCATTATCTAAACTGATTGGGATTGGATTTTATCAGAGGTTGTTTTTTCCAAAAAGACAATTGGTTTGACAATAAACTTTCAATAAAGCAATTATTCTTTTTACTTCAGGGGAGTTGAAACACAAATCGAAAATAGATACTCTTACACTGCATCTATGAGGTCTTTTTTTAGTGGAATAATAAACTTTCAATGAAGCAATTGTTCTTTTACTTCAGGAGAGAAATTGAAACCGAACTGGGAAATAGATATTCTTACAATGGATATATGGACTGAATTTGAACATCAGCAGGGAATAATTTGCACTCCTCGGAGAATATTTGAGCTTGTCTTTCAGCAATGGAATCAATCAGTTGTATGTCCTTCGCTACCTGCTCATCGATACTGCAGAAATCACAGTTCATACCAGATCTCAGGCCAACATGATTGTTTGAAATCAGAAAAAAAATCACGTGCATAATATAGAATGAAATTTGAAATTATAGAAGTGCTAGGAGTTCCTTTATTAAAAAATAAAAACTTCCCAACACAAATGTAAAACTTAGTATCATCCTTGACCTCCATTCTTGATTATCAGCATAAATGCTCGCCTCCACAAGATCTACAATAAGACGAAGCATTTCAGTGCGATCTTCATAGCTTCCTCGTCCCTGCAACAAAAAGGTATCGCATTCAGTAAGGGTGGAGGAAACACACAGAGTAAAGAGTTGCTAGATTTCACGTCGAGTGCAGAATGCATGATGGTCCAATAAAACATTTTTATTCCTAACTATGTTCATCTTGTCTAGAGTGCCAACTAGATGCATAATGTGCATCTTGCAAACAAATTTTTACGTCATCTTTGATTATATTCTGTCTAGTCTACCTTGATAAAATAAAAAATAAAAATAAAAAAATTGATGATCTGCCAGTATAACTTTGTTTCAAATTGACTATTTCCATGGAGGTACATTAAGGGAGATTCATATTTGACTACTCTGATCGTATCTGGGGGACTAATCTAGAATATTTGGATGTAAAGGAACCTCCAATAAGAGGATAAGATTCCAATTTTATCGTATAACCAAAAGGATTCAGATAATACAACAATTTTAAAAAGCTTGGCATCCTTTAAGAAAAGAGTACCAGTTACCAAAATTTACTAGTATAATTAGATCAATCCATGATACTTACATATCCTAAAAAATTATTTTCCCAACAGATTCTACAAAAGGTTAATTAAAAACCAATAAACAATAAATTTAAATGTGATAAGTAATAATGCAATTAATTTGTACAGCTAAACTAAAGAAGAAAAAAAAAATCACCCATATAAGCCAGAATAAATACTCCTAAATCAACATAAATCCACAACTAACTTGGATAACTTCTGTGTCTACAGTAGTAGTAATACCCAAAAACTTTGCAATCTCTGCCAAATCTGCAAAACAGAAGGTCATCATTTGTTATGGTAACAATTAAGAGAAACTTGGTCAGATTATCCCATCACATGACTAAAAACAGTGCAAAATAGAAAGTTCATCATATATAACCCACATACTAAGAAAAATTTGGAAATTTAAACAGTCAACGGATATACCAGCTGGCTTTAGGAGAAGAATAAGTAGCTAAATAAAAAAGGTAGCAGAACGGAAGGATGCTCTACAAAACTATCTTAAAAAGTCCATCAAGGATAAAGCATTTGGGTGCTTATGGTACCAACATAAATATATTAAGCTATTCCAAGTACAAGCAATATCATAACTGCGTTTGCTTTCTTTGAAGTAATACTGAGTTAAGATTGTGAAAAATAGCTGTAGGATGCCTCTATCTTTTCTATATTAGGATATGGATATGCAAAGTTTTCTCCGTCAAGATTTAATTTTTCTTCTGAATTTTGATTTCCTTTAGCTTTATTTGGGAGATCAAAGGTTCTGCGTTATCAGTTTGTCATCTTAATACTGCATATATTCTTTACTATTGGAAGTCTTCACAAAAGTTTGTCATCTTAATTATCATCAGGAAGATATCAAGAGTTTGAAAGACTAGTTGAGCAAAACAATTGTAGCCCACATTTTCATTTGAAATTAATATTAGAAGAGGGAAAGTATAATTTGGATCCACCATTTCATGGAATTCAAAAATCAAATCTTGCAGAGTGAAAACGAAACAAAAAGAACACAGCAGTGTGAGAATATCATGTTTTCCACCATGTATGTAGCCTACATTTGATGATCTAAACAGACCCAGGTTAATTTTCATCACATTCTGAACAACTTCAGCACGACCCAATTCAACATTCTACCAAAAAAAAAGCCTTACATTGGATGCGAGCAGTCTCTTCGTCACGATCCATGGCGTCCCCTTGAAGACTCTGTTGAGAAAAGGGTGACTTGTCCCCCAACAAGCTGCAATTACACCAAGAACCAGGACAGTCAAAAATGGGGCATGGAGGAGAATCAGAAAAGTCAAAGAAGAAGTAAACGGCATGTCGTGTACCGGAAGAACAGCCATTCGAGAAGAGCATAGCGTTCCATGCCGGCGAAGAGGAGAGACTGAGCAGGCGCATTGGCTCTCGAGTAATTCAGCATCGCCAGCTTCCTCTGTATCTCTTCCATTTGTCTCGCTGCCATTTTTAACTCAAACACTAAACCAAACACTTCAGCTGAGATCCAAAATCGTTATAAATTCCCAACACTGCTTTTGGTGAATAGGATGGTGGGTTAATTTTGGGGGTGATGAAGCAATCAACAAATGGAATTGAAAATTTTAATCTTTTTCTTTGTCCAAAGTAGCAGACGGCCCAAAGCCGCATTACAACTGACCTGGCAAACGGGTCCCCGTTAAGGAAAACGGGTTAACACGACCCAACTCGTTAAGCTAACAAGTGAGATATAGATATACTAGATCCAAACATGGCCCGTTCAAATTTGTGAATAACCCGACACGACCCATTATGAATAATGGGTCGTGTTTCACCTATTTCAGCCACTTTACCCGCTTCAGCCTTTTAAAAAATAAACAATATTTTTTAGCACATTGAAAAAAAAATTTGAAATCTTTAAATACATCTTACACATTGGAAAACAAAAAAAATTAGACAACATGTCACATGAGTCTCAAATTGAATCTTTATCTTCTGCATTTTCAGTATATGAAACACCATCCATTGAAACTACAACAAACTCCTCATCCATGATTCCCATACCATTGGTAGTCTCTGTATCTTCCATCTGCCAGTAAAACAAGTAAAGAATACACACACAAACAGACCAAGACCAGCGAAAAAGGAAGACAACAAAAAAAAAAAACAAAATGAGCCCAATAAAATTTAAATACAGGGAAGTTCATACCTTTAGTTGGAGAGAATATCTAGAGAGAAGATGAAGGTAGCCTGTTGTTTGGTTGGTGAGAATATCTAGGGAGAACAAAAGAGTTTAGAACGTAACTTGAGAGTGAGAAAGTGATTTGGGTCTGTTTAAGTTAGTGAGTGAGGAGGAGGCGAAAGATGGGAGAAGACGCAAAGAAAAGATAGTTAGGCTAGCTAGGGATTTTATTTTATAATGTAGATTTACAAAAATACCCCTGCTCTTAATGGGTTAACGGGTCATTCGCGAATTATACTGAAACGACCCGTTAAGAAAATGGGTGCTTAACGAGTTCACCGTTATCAACCTGACCAGATAAGGCAAACCCAAATACTGATATTTTCGTGCGAATTCGTGTCGTGTTAGCGAATCGTGTGCAATATTGCCGGGTCTACAACTGATGAGCACAAAACCCCCTGAGATTTCAAAATTTACATGAACACCTTCTGAGGTTTTAAATTGTTTTCACAAAACCTCTTTTCGTTGATTTTTCGTCCAAAGATTGATGATTTTATATGAAAATTTTCTTCAAATGACAAAGTTAGCCTTTGAGATTAGCTTGCACATACACTTATTAAGGTTAATTTTGTCATTTGCACAAGTTCTTTTTATACAAATTTATAAATAAACCCAATCCTAGAGATGTATTTATAAAAAAAAAACCCAAGTACTATTTAAACATAGAAATACACCCAAAATTAACCCCAAAATCAACAATTGTATATTTTTTGGGTATGTTTATAAATGAGTTTTGGGTGTGTTTATAAAGTGTTTTGGGTGTTGGGTTTTTTTTATAATTTCAGCTCTCATTTTGGGTGTTTTAGTGAAATGCCCTTCTTTTTATGTGAAATCATCAATTTTTGAATGAACAATCAATAAAAATGGGTGTGAAAACAATTTGAAACATCAACGGGTTTTTGTGTAATTTTTGAAACCTAAGAGGGTTTTATGTAAACACCGAAAACCTCATAAAAGTGTTAGCATAAATAACTCTTCTCAATATTGCACGGAGATTTTAGATTCGAATTCACTAGCAATCCAAAAAAAAAAAAAAAAAAAAAAAAAAAAAAAAAAAATAATCCAATTAATTAATTGAATATATACAGCTATAAGATAAAGAAAGCCAAACTCGGCCAATTGAAGGGGTTGATTTCCAGCTAAAGATAAAGAAAAGGGAGTGGCTTTGTATTGAAGCCGCAGCTTTAAGTTTTGGCTTTGGGTGGGTCGGGAAAAGGTTCGGGGGTTTAAGCAAGAACAGAAAAATATCTAAGCAAGTACCTGAAGCTGAAAGGGACGAAAAGGGCACTTTAAACCAGTGAAAAATCTCGTCCTCAATCTCCAGAGCTTGTTGGTTTTTTTTATTGCAGAATCTCTGTCTCTCTCCCCATCCAATAGCTACAACAACAAATGCTTACCTTGAATCTAAGTTGTCCTTCTTCCACTGTCACTTTCTCCCAATCCAAACATCAACACCCCATTAATGCCTCCTCTTCACTTCTCAATCCGAATCTTCTCAACCGAATCCAAATCCAGAGAACCCTACACACCTCATCTCCTCTGCTCCACAAACCCACCTCTCCCAAACTTGAAGCATCCACCAAAGTCTCAAGCTTTAGCAGAATTTATGGCCACCCAATTGGAATTTCTTCAAAACCCATATCTCAGGTCCAAGATTGGGGCTCAAAGATCAGTCAATTGAACAAAACCTGTGGATTCCCACCTGGGTTTTCTTCCAAACCCAGATCCCAAATCCCCAAAGCTGCATCTGAAGCCAATCCAGAACGAGGAGAAAGTGAAGCTGCAGTTTCAAAGCCCAAGGCCACAACCGCCCAGCTTGCACTTATTTTTGGGCTCTGGTACTTCCAGAACATTGTCTTTAACATTTACAACAAGAAGATATTAAATATTTTCCCATTTCCATGGCTTCTTGCTTCTTTTCAGCTCTTTGCTGGGTCTGTTTGGATGTTGGCTCTCTGGTCTTTGAAGCTCCAACCATGCCCCAAATATCAAAACCATTCATAGTTGCACTCCTTGGACCTGCATTGTTCCACACAATAGGCCACATCTCAGCATGTGTCTCATTCTCTAAGGTGGCTGTTTCTTTCACCCATGTAATCAAATCTTCAGAGCCTGTTTTCTCGGTTGTCTTTTCGTCGTTCGTAGGCGATTCGTACCCTTTACAGGTCTGGCTTTCAATCCTCCCTATTGTCTTGGGTTGTTCTCTAGCTGCAATTACTGAGGTGTCATTCAATTTCCAAGGCCTGTGGGGTGCGTTGATTAGCAATGTTGGGTTTGTGTTGAGGAATATTTACTCAAAACGCAGTTTACAAAACTTCAAGGAGGTAGATGGGTTGAATTTGTATGGTTGGATCACTATACTTTCACTCCTCTATCTGTTTCCTGTTGCTATTTTTGTTGAAGGGTCTCAATGGGTTCAAGGGTATCACAGAGCTATTGCAACTGTAGGAAAACCATCCACATTTTACATATGGGTGTTGTTATCTGGAGTGTTTTACCATCTCTATAACCAGTCATCTTATCAGGCTCTTGATGAAATTAGCCCCTTGACATTTTCAGTTGGAAACACAATGAAGAGAGTGGTGGTAATTGTATCTACTGTGTTGGTGTTCAGAAATCCAGTTAGACCTCTTAATGCACTTGGATCCGCCCTTGCGATATTTGGGACTTTCCTGTATTCACAGGCAACAGCATCTAAAAAGCAAAAGGGCGGTGAAAAGAAGAATTGAACATAGTTTTTACTTGGTCTGCTTCTAGTGTATTATTCTTTGATCTGGTAAAATTTGTGATTTGCTCTGGTTTATTCCACAGCTAACAAGTTTTAGTAATGTCCAAGGTTTTATTTCATGATATCTTCTCTTTGATTTTTATTTTCATTTCTCTGTGTATTAATGGTAAATTTCACTAGGATTGATTAGGCCTTTCTTCACCCTACTTCACTTGTTATATGCTTGATGCTTGCTAAGTTTTGTTTGTGTTTGTTTGTGCCTACATACCTAAGAAGCTAAGTGTAAAGTTCCGTTTGGTTATACGTATGGAGAAGGTCATTTTTTTATTGAGTTTCAAGTTCAATTTTATTTTATTTTATCAATTCAGTTTGATATTTTTCACTAAATGCAATTGAAAATACTCGAAATGCATGTTGTCTTGCTTACTATGAGGAGGATTCTCTGTGGTACAAGTCAAATTTTAACTTAGAAAGTGCAATGGCAGGAGAATTACAAAGCCAAATACAAGAATGATCATAATAATACCCAAAATAGCTAAATTGTCAACAACTGTATTAGCCCATCAGTTACCTGCTCTTTTGCGTGCTTGTTATTTCCTGATATACGGATTTGGGTACTCTATCAGATTTTTTTTATATACTTCATATACTAAAATTTCAACAGGTAAGATTGTGCCACATCTTTAATAAATCCAGATTTTTCTTAAACTTGGGGAAAGGTCGTCATAGATGTGGCACTATTGGAATTTTTTGATGAATTAAACAAGAGTGGAAGCAGAGGGACATGTAGCTCAAATAGTTAAGAGCAGTTTTTCCTGCATCGGAAGTCCTGTGTTCGAATTCGACCTTTCCAATATCACTTGTGCCAAAAACAAAATAAACAAGAAGAGTGAAAAATTAGAAATTGGTGATAATTAAAGAACACAATTTTATATTATAGAACTATAGATATCATAATCCCCATGGGATTAGTTTGTCAGACCAGCCGTTGCAAATATGCAAATTAACAACACAGGTCAATAAAGAAAGAAACGAAGGCTTCTCAGCAAAAAGGAAGCAAAATTGCCAGAAAGAATTGGAGGGAAAATTAGACTGTTATTTAAAATTTTAGGAAATACATATATAAAATATGAATATATGAACGTACAGTCTTACCCAAAACAAATTAGCACAGTTCTTAAACCGAGCTGAGCTTTTTTCAAAATGGGTATTTCTTGGCTTTAGGCATTGTTGTGAATATGCCTAAGAGCTGTCGATTTCATAAGAAATGCCTAAATTTTTCATGTCATAAGGCCTGCCCAACAGATGGGTTTACTGTTTATGTCTATTGACAAACTTTCATGGACAGGTTTCATTGTGTTCACCCTTGTGGATTATTTCTAATAAGTTTTTTTTTATCTACAAGTGCATATAATTCTGAAGTTCTGTGAAATTCTTTGCAACTTTCCATTACCTTTAAAATTCATGATCTCTTTTTCATCATAAGATGTTTTTTTGTGTCTTGTTTGTACTGTTGGATATCTTTTCATCAGTATTATGATTGTTTTTGCAAATAATTATTTGTTAATTCCCAGTTGATGAAATGGGAGACCTATCCACATCAAATCCCGTGATTGAACTAGAAGGGGATGAATTTTGGCCACTTTCTGGGAAACCCTTTTTTAATGTGGTTCTCACGAAAACAACTAGCAAACTCATGTACCAACTGGTAATTAGCCCCTAATTTCCCATGTTTAAATGGTGGTGAGACTTCCTCCTATGTCAATTTCTTAACTATTGGTGTCAGTCTACATGATCATAGTTGCCAATTTTATCACATAATCAAATTGGAATGAAGTAACAATTTGTTTGATGAGCTTAATGTATGGGCAATTTGCTTATACTTCTTAGTTTTAAATAAATGGTTGACTTGTTCAAGTGAAAAATAATATGGCTACTGCTGAAACTTTCTTTTTCTTTGCAATTGTAGGCAATAATATTGTGCATTGCTAATTCTTTAATTTGGGATTATCAATTTCTTCTCTTTAATTAGTCTAATTCATTGAAATAATTATTTGTTCGAGCAAGTGGTCCAAGGCAAATTTAGTGCAACACTACCTTTGTGTTCAATCCCTACAGTTCTCGCATTTCGGGGCAAGAACTGGGAGATGATATATCATGAATCATCCAGTTGTAAAAGGCTGATAACTGGAGACCGTTTGCCATTGACAACAATTTGAAGGTTGGAGATGCATGTGTGTTTGAACAACTAGAGTGCAGCAGTACTAGGCTAGTATTTAGAGTCCAAATTCTCATAGGTGACATCCCATCTGAATTTCTAGACAAGCTCAATGGTGATAATTTAGATGCACCAATTGTTCTTGAATAGTATATGCCATATTGTCTTTTAATGGATGTTATTAATTTTCCGAATGAGATTACTTTCAAGAGCTAATATGATTTGAATTTGGTGGAACTCTAGCAAGGCTATTAAGGATAGTTGTATGATTCTGAGTCCATATGTTCCAGTCTAGGAGTTATGGTGTCATTTGACACGATACTTTAGTAACATGAGTATCTATTATTGTTCAGATACCTTTAAAAACGTAATTTAGTAGCGTACTTTCTAACAATCCTCTTTAATAATTTCTTACCATTCAACTTACATGTTGCTCAAAATGCATCAAATAACCTGGGGAATGGTTTCTAAAGGTCTCATAATATATACTAATAGTCATTGTATTGTCTGTTTTCTAATGAGTGGGATTCAAAGCAAAAAACCTGAAAAGGATAAAGACTTTACTTAGCCGTTTGTTTGTGCTAGATGTGGGAGCCAACGAGCAAGGGAGAGCCAGATAGAGATGGTTAGGGCGGTAAGGATAAGTCAAGTACATTTGCAAAACACAAATAAGGAGGGTTGATATGGCAGATTACAATAATATGCAAGATATATGTCATCCAGTCCAATATGCAAAACTCAAGTCCCTAATTTCTTCACAAATGTGTTAGTTTAACAATTCTTGAGGTTTGAATATGTTATGTCAGGCTAAATCCATGATATAATAATTCCGGTATCTTCATATCTAAATAAATTCTATTTAAGCATCCTAATAGCATCAGAAATGCAAAATCATGTCCAAACTCCACTCTATATAAAAGACAGAGAATTAACTGACAATCATTTCACCATACCTTGATTCATACAAATCCAAATAAACAAAGGAGCCAAACAAAATATACATTACCATGTCCAAATTAATAAGTTTCTTGGCAAGCCTAATGATCTGCACCTATTTCACCTGCATATATCTACAAGGAAATAAACCAAATTAATAGGTTTACATTTACCCCTCTGCCTATTGTCCACTTTAAGACTTGGAAATCATTAGAGGGGTAGTGCAATAAAATCAATTTAAATTCGCGATTGAATCTCTTCCTTTCCATAAAAGTAATTCTCCAATCCAAATATCTTAACAACACATCTTCACTGCAAGTTTCATATTTAAACGATGAACCAAACTTAAATGTGATTCCATCAATGACAACATATAAATATATAAGTATAATATAAGTCATGAAATCAACAAGCTATAAGTCATAACTGTAACTATTATGGTATAGGGCTTGTTTTAGTTAATGAAAATTGTGAGAGGGGATGCATTCCCAGTAAGTCAAGTACACTCAGGTCCTATTTAGTCCTATTCAAGCCTTTGCACTTGACGTCCCAATACAAAGTTTTGTCTTTTTTCTTTTTCTTTTTTACTTTTCTAAAAGGACGTTTGTATAGCGGCTTTCACATTATAAGGGCCGTAGCCCTCTCCATTGGAAGTTAAGTGCGCACCTACTCTAATAGTAGCTTTCACACAGTCCCTAATGGGTAGCCCTCTCCATGTTTACTAAAACGGCGTACTAGCTTCACAATATAGGAAGCCGTTAATGTGGTAGATTTCACTTTATTATGGTGGTAGCCATCTCTGTTAGAAGTGAAGCACATACACCTAACTACCTCAACATTAGCTTTCACTCAACCCTAATAGGTAGCCTTATCATAATTTATTGTGTACACCTATTTGTATAGGTAGCTTTCACACCATTAGGGTGGTAGCCCTCTCCATTAGAGATTAAGTTTGCACCCACACCTCCATGGCAGCTTCACACGTCCCCTACATGCAGCCATTTCTATACATAAACCCTCCTTAAAACGTAACATTAATGGTCAATCTAGAGTCATCATTTTATAAGTTTTGGAAGGGTTTACTCCATTGGTCAATCTATGCAATCTTTTACAAGACTAAAAAGAACTAAGTACGTACCCTGACTAAATTGAAAATACGTACTCCTCACACTTTGTTCTTTGGATTCAAAAGCCCATGACCAAAGTAGTTCTAGCTAGTGAATTTAGCTTAACTTGTTGATTCCAAGTGTTTAATGGAATTTTTGTAATGTTCTCAGAGACCTTAAGAAATAAATTTATAAAAAACAAACAAATCATGTCCAACCAACCAGGAATAGAAATATCAAAACATAAAAACTCATAACAATACAAAAAAGAAGCAAGAAACACATAAAAACTCATATGCCAGTGCTAAACACAAAAAAACAATGCTTAAGAACTATAGAAAAGTTGATAGAGGTCCAAAAATCCAACTAATAGTTGGGTCTAGTCCTTGAATAATTGTTTGTTGATACAAGTCCTTTGATTAGTTTTCCATGTAGATTACATTCCATTTTTGATATGCTGACTCAATCTTTTATATTTAACTGATTTGTATTTAAATTTTTTGTTCCTATTATATCCCTATTGTATAAAACGAGTAAGATCAGGATTTATAGGCCATTAATGATCATATTTGATCATGTAATTAAAGGAATAATTACATTTTGAATGTAAATATCGAAACATGCTTGATTTGTACAAATTCCTATTTAACGTGGATTTTATTAATGCACATATTGTGCATAAATATGTTAATCCATTGCCACTTATTTTATGTACTCCTTTTATTATTCGTTCATAATACAATTGCCCACTCATATATTATTATTGTTTTCTTTCCCATCTTTTATGTTTGTTTTAGGTTTTAATTTCATTGTTGTGTAGCTTTTTGTAGTATAATGTTTTTTTTTCCACTCTATGTACCTAAAGATAATAATGATTAAAATTTTCAATTGTTTCTCACCAATTGTCAAGTTGTACTATTTTTTAGTTTTATAACTTTGCGAAAGGGATTAATAATTCATATGTTGTTTTTTTCCCCATCTCAGTGTTTATTTCTTCATGAACTATTAATATTATTCTTAAATTTGATAACCTATGCACCAGGTACAATACCCTACTGACCATTGAAATTGATATACCTATCTAATAGGTATAGTACATATTTGATGCACCTCAGTACTAGGTAAAACACATATTGAATGCACCTCAATGACAGGTAAAACACATATGTTTAAAATAAAATAAAAGTTATACCTCCATACTAGGTATATTAAAAAATTAACATTATGACAAAAAAATTCCATCAAAGAATTTTGAAAAACTCAGTATATAAATTAATTTATAGCTAAAAGGTAGGTATATGCTACCAATTTAATAAAGCTACGAATATAGAATTCTAAAAAATATAGTTTCCATATATATAGATGAAATTTGAATTAAATAGGTTTTTAATCTGTGAGGAATGAATTAAATAGGTTTTTTCCATATTTAAAAGTGGTATTTGTATTTACTTGCCATTTTCAACCAATGTCATATCTTGTAAATCTCTCGAATATGGTGGCTACAAGGTTTGCATACCTGGCCATACAATTGATTGGGAGGACTGCAATTGAAGAGAGCCTAATTAGTGTCCTGCATTCATATTATCTAAATGAAAATGGACCAATATCTAAGAAGCCCTAAGAACTATCCACTTCCCCCCCAATACTAAGCATAAGACACAGTTCCTTCGTCGCACACAGTATTGGACTCAATACTGAGCATATGACATAGAGTCTTGGTCGCATCCTCGGCAGAGTGGCAAGGAGGGCACCCCTGGTCTCGAGCCAAGGCCGGAGATGTCGACTCCACCGCCACAAAATGTGGCATGGGCAGTGAATGTGGCAGCGAGGAGTTTAGGTAGCAGGGGCCCACCCAATACTCAAGTATTGATATCAAGAACTACCTTTGTGACTCGGCCTTGGCCTCCCCATCTGAGAAGAGAATAATGTTGGACGCAACGCCTTTGAGGACTGTAGTCGTGAGCTATGGCCACCACTGGTTTACTGGGATAAAGTGGTACCCCCGAAACTCATCCTTCGCCCAAGAAGAGAAGAATGTTGGACACATCGCCTTCGAGGATTGCCATCATGAGCTATGGCCATCACTGGTTTACTGGGATAAAGAAGTACCCCCGAAACTCATCCTTCGCCCACAAAGAGAAGAATGCTAGACACAACGCTTTCGAGGATTGTCGTTATGAGCTATGTCCACCAATGGTTTACTGGGATAAAGAAGTACCCCCGAAACTCATCCTTCGCCCAAGAAGAAGACATGCAAGAGTAAACGCATAATCAAGACTTGGTTGCTAGGCTAATCTTTTGCTACGTATAATCAAGACTTGTTGCTATGCATATAAAGGGAAAGTGAAACACTTGAAAACCCCTAAATACCCTAGAAAAAAAGAGAGACTATTATCATTTTTTAACATCCAATGGTTTAGAATCACCACCATCACTCGTCCAATTTACCAGGTAACCATATTTTATTTTAAAAAAAGTTCATGTCGCTTTATACTCCAACAAAAAAAAATCGCTTTATACGACTGATGATCTTATATGTAGTAATTTCATTTTACCTTTGTAAGATTATTAAAATGCGAAACGGGTATAATACGTATAAAATATCTAAGTTTATTATTCGGTAACTTTCTTTAAAATATACTGTAAAAAATTTGATCATTTGATAAAAATATAAATTTATTTATTATGTTTTTGTAATTTGTAGTCATTTTTTCTAAAATACGTGAAATTCCAGATAAAATTGGCAAATAATACGTGTATTATTGTAAAATGTTTGAAAAATATTGTTTTCTTATTTGTGGAAATAATGTATGAGTGGTTGTGACTCAGCCTCAACCTCCCCATCTGAGAAGAGAAGCGCAACCCAAGAATGCGAAGAAGATGCTCGAGGAAAGACGATCCCAAGAGAGCAGCTATAAGGTTCTATGCGCCTTTTCAAAAAAAAAAAAAAAAAAAAAAAAAAAAAAAAAAAATGCTAGGCCTGACCACCAAACGAGTCTGGGAGCAACCTTGAGGACTAAGTTAACCATATTTATAAAATAAAAAAATAAAAAAAGTTTTTCTAGCAGTTTTAACCCCCTAAATTATTTGCATATTGTCAATTTAGCCCCGTAACAAGTTTTTCTGTAATTTAAGAGCTCCAGTTGTTTTATCCATTGCTTTATCCGCACGATGAGGGATGATGTCATATGTAATTATTTCATTTTACTTTTATATGATTACTAAAATACGAAACGGTTATAATACGTATAAAATTTGTAAGGTTTTTTTTTAAAAGAAAATAATATGTAAGTTGAATATTTGATAAATTTCTTTAAAATATACATTAAAAAGTGTATTATTGTAATAATATGTGAAATTCCATTTAAAATTGGCGAACAATAAGTGTATTATTGTAAAATGTTTGAAATATGTATGAGTACATGCATAGTACTCAAATCGTACATTATATACAAATTCGTTCATATTTTTTAAAGGGAGATTCACTATTATACCCAATATAGGGGTCCAAATTATAAAAATACCCTATGAAATTGACTTTATAAACACGCTCAAAGATTATTTACAACATAACAAAGAGGCTTTAACTTCTTATAAATTATAAAACTACCATAAATTTTTTAAAACAAGCCCAACCCCAAAATCTCATAAAAATACCAAAAACACTCAATAGGGTATTAAAGTAATTTAATAATCAATATTAAATTCAATAAGGTCAGCTGTTATTTTTTGGGTTTTAATTGGGGTTTTTTTATATAGAAATTCAATGGTGTAGGGTTTATCTATAATATTAGTGCTAAGAATGAGTATATCACTAAATATCTCTTTTTTAAAAGCATGCAACAGACAAGATTTGTTTTTTCAAATAATACATATGCATAGTATACGTGCATTAAGGAGGAAAATTACATTTTTTACCTTTATGTTGAATGGGTCAAGAAATTAACCAAATTTAACTTCAGATACCCTTTTGCAAGATTTTAGGTCATGTACTAATTTGAAATGACCCTCAAAATTCAGATACTTTTATGTAGTTAATCCTTATATTTATTTGTCATTTATTGTTTATTTTTAGCTATTATGTTATTCCCGACACAAAAACGAAAAATAGTCTGTATATAGCTAAGTTATGTTATTGACCATTTTTAAGTTAATTGAAGTTTTTTATAAATAAAAATAGAAGTTTAAACAAATTTATGACATTTATTATTTAAAAAAACACATAACAACTAAGTTAAAGCCCTTTTCTTCTTGCCCAATGGAAAGGCTCTTTGCCTCTAGCCCAGTAAAAAATGGTATTTACTTGTGAACCAATAGTCTTATATTTGAACCCCATAACACATTGTTCGTGTGTATATGTGAAAGCCCCTTCCCTATTATAATTTATGACATTTATATTTCATGCCTTAAGTTGTAGAGGAGATAAAATTGCATGATAGTTGTTATAATTTATTACATGTGACAAAAACCTTTATATGTGTGGTTGCACATGTGTGAACATGTATATAATTATTTTTATAGCAATCTTAAATATGTACGCATAAATCATTTCTATACCAATGTTAATAGATCAGATATTCTTTCCACAAAATACTAGAGATATTGGAAGCAATTAAAGATCAATAATTTATGCCCAGCAAAAATGTTGGTCTCACCTAATATTGAGTATTGTTTATCCAATGATGAGAAGCATGGTCCCTAATTGGGCCGGGGATACTCAAATTTAAAATGAAGAAGTTCCCAGCTGGTCGTAGACTCAACAAACTTATTTTGTGTGAGATTAGGGCACTCCGCAGCTAGGAATGGGGATATGGACGGACGGAGATGGGGATGGGAATGAAGATGTAGATTTTAAAAAATAAGACGTTAGAAGTGGATGTGGCAAGTGGCGAGTCAACCTAGTTTGGTCCCACCCAACACTCATGCCCGAGTAATAATGACATGGAAAGCTTACCTAGTGGACGATGAATGACCCCTTCGTCGCAGCTCGACTTATGTAACCCAATAGTACAGTAGTAAAATTATCCACCAACCAATTCACCTTTGGAAAACTAATTTGCTAAAGGACTAAGGGTGGTAAAAACGTAAAAGCAAATGTGTATTGTGTGGTGTGATTAGATGTGGTGGGCTGCACCGGAAGTCATATTTGTGGCCACTAATTAACAAAGAACCAATGCCCTGTCCTGCCCCCACTACTCCTTACAGACACACTGCCATTGGAAGTGATTGTGGCAGGGGCAAGTTCAGGTAGGCTGGTGCTGCCCAAGGCTCACACTCGAGTGATGGAATGGAAAGCATACCTAGAAGACGACAAATGACCCCTCTGCCGTGGCTCAACCTATGTAACCCAATCTTGTAGCCCACTGAAACTTGATAATAGAAGCCATACTTGTTTTTCTTAATTAGGGAATTATGTGCAAGTGAAACGCTGAATTGTTGTAGAGTGATGGAGCAAGGGATGATTGTGAGTATTGTGATCAAGTTTTTGGTGTATTTGTAGTGGAGTGGTCATGCCATAACTCATTTATGGATAAATTGCTTGTAACCCAAGTTTCAGTTGTCGAATTATTTGTGTAAATTATTTTATGGACCAATCAAGACTTGACATGTCACGTGTATTGAGATAAATGAAGTGGCAGTACTACTCCAACCATGTATATACCAGGTGCCTTTGTTGCATATTATAATACTTTCCTTGAAATATGTAAACTATTTCCAGCAAAAAGAAAATCAGTTTCCATTTTTCACCAATTATGTATATATACATGGCTTTACGCATGATAAGGGTTTTGTTAATTATTTATTTCACATTATCTCTCACATAAAACATTTTTAACATTATTATTGGCATTAGAGACCCATGTTCCTTTTTTGTGTACTCTTAGGTTGTGTTAAAATGACTTTGAAATGACGGGATTTTGAAGTGAGAGATTTCAAAATGATGACATTTTGAAATGAGGGGACTCCAAAAGTGATGGGATTTATAAAGTCACTTGTTTGGCTAAATATTTTGTTGGTGGGATTTCATTGGGTAATTTCTTGTAAACATAAGATTTTTTTTTTGCCTACATATCATCAAATTACATAGTCATTTGAAATTAAAAAAGTATAATTAATAATACATCATTGGAACTAAATCTGGTTTGAAATTAGTTTTCTAATCTTTCTTCATGAACTTTATTATAAAAAGTCTTCTTCTTTTTAAGTGGAATATTCTTCAACAAGTGAAGTTTTGTCCTATCATTTGCTAGCAACTCAATCACATCCCAACATTGATTTTCATATAAATCTAGAATTGTAGGTACCGCATCATAGACTTCCTCAAGAGTAGCTTTTTTTGCATCAAATTTTGTCATGAATTGTTTAATAGAAACAGCCATTTCTGCAACTGCACCAGCAAATGACATCACTCCATTTCGGAATTGACTTATAACAAGGCTATGGCTTCCATTTGATTTATAATTAGTCAAACACTTTTACTTACTGTCAGCAAGCAATTCATAACATTATGATCATAATTAAACAAACAAATAAGCAGTGAATTTGTCTGAACAGAGTAGCCACCTAAAGCTACTCCCAGTCACAGTTTAAGTCACATTTGAGGAAGGAAGAAACAAAATACAATGTAGTCTCTAATTTAAAGGCAAATTTGAGAGGTGGCTATTTGAGAATCTGATTGAGTGGAAGAAAAAACATAAACCAACTGATAGACTAAATTTCATGGGAACACTTAAATTAACAACATAAACCAATTAAAAACTACAACCCATCAAGCATAATGGACCATAATAATTGCATGAAGGAAGATACTCAAGATTAAGCTGTACCTTACATGCAAACCCAAAAGCCCCTTATTGAGAGCAATTCCATCCATTTGTCATGGTAAATGACAAGGGCAGTTACTGTTTATGTGAATAGTGTCTTCCTAAGCAATTTTTTTATACATTCCCACCTATTGCCATGGCAATCTAAGAGCAACCATTATTCACATGAGATATGAGGAGAGAAATTTGTATTAAGTTTTTGGTGTGGGAAGTGAAGAACATGGCTAGGTATTTATAGAAAAAAAATTCTGAAATTTTTGGTTTTTTTTTCCTTTTTTTCCAATTTATTTGGGTATTTAAATTGGATACTGACGTCAGTGTGCAACTCAGACAAGTCTTGCATTTGGGCTCGCCCAGGCTTGGATATGGCCCATTGCTGTCTGGGTAGTTTGTGCCTGGTGTGGGCATTTTTTCCAAACCAAACCCTCTTTTACCATGACAAAAGTGACCAATGGAAGTGATCTAAGCAATTTCAGTTCTTCGTATTTCCTTTTTCTTTCTTTTTAGGGTTCAAAGCATCAGGATGCTTTGTGTTCAATACAAAGACTCAAATTCATATATTTGGGTTCAAAAGCCCAAATTCCTACATTCTTTTTTCTCTCCAATGCACTTTTATTTATTTATTGAATATTAGAATTTAACTTTGGTTGTTGAGTCGAAATTTCCGTTGGAGATGGGTTGGGTCCAAACTTAAATTTGGGTTTGGCATACTCTCTCATATTTTCCTTCTAGGCCCACAATTTGACTTTTGATTGAAAACAACTCGATTTCGATATGAAACTGATTTGGATTTGATTTTTCCTTTACATTGACTATGGGCTAACCCATAAAAAAAATCTATATAGTTTTTGAGATATTTATTCAAAAATTCATTTTAACATGACATATTATATAAAAATCTATATAGAGCCTATTTAAAGAGAAAACCACAAAATTAGCCACTTGTCATTTTCTAATTAGTTCTAGTGTGTTAAAATTTTATAAGAACCAATTAGAAAATGACAAGTAGCTTTTGATTTTTCTCTTCAAATAGGCTCTACAAGGGTTTTTGTATAATATATCATGTTAAAATGGACCTATTTTTTTTTTTTTTTTTTTTTTTTTTTTTTGGGCATGCCAAAGGGTTCTGGAAATGCTTGCCTTCATCTGATGCCCAAATTTTAGTATATAAAAATAGAGTTGTCATGGAAATGACTTATAACTTAAGTGTTTCACATTCTTATCTAATGTCATGGAATCGATTATTCCTTTGTACAAACATCCCCTACCAGATTGGTAGCCCTCTCCATTGAAAGTTAAGTACGCACCTACTCTAATGGTAGCTTTAACAGTCCATAATGGGTAACATTCTCCATTTTTATACTAAAATTGTGTACTAGCTTCACAATATATGAATTTGTTAATCTGTTAGCTTTCACTTGTGGTAGCCTTTCTGTTAAAAGTTAAGCATATGCACCTACCTCAATAGTAGCTTTCATACAAACCCTAATCGGTAGCCTTATCCATGTCTATAATTTGTTGTGTGCACCCACCCCCATGAGACCTACGCGCATCCCTAACATTTAGTCATATCTACACATAACCCTCCCTACACCTAATATTCCTATCTAGCATTCTAGTCACCATGAAAAATTTCCAATATTTTTAATTTCCTCCAATATCTTATATATGTTTATGTGTGTCTATGCTTATGTCTATATAATCTACTATCACATATAATTAGAGATGGACAAAATCACATAAATTTTATTTTAACAATCACACAAAACTACAAGTTTTTATTTTTGTATATTAATTTATTTCAATCATGTCGGGAGGTATGAATCAAAAAACATTTAATCAGATATCTTGTGACTAAAAATGCGTGACCACACTGCATGTCATATTTTGATTCAATATAACTAAATTTATGTAACAGAAAAAGAAAAAAGGAAAAATAAATAAATTTCTATTATAATATTTGTTACATAAAATGACTTGAGGGAAATGTCCATTAGGCTCTGATTGAGTTTGATTTGGGCTCCCTGAGAACTCTTAGCCCTTGAAGAAGCCAACCCGACAAGGCCCAAATGCGTACGTCTAATAAGTTGTTTATTATAATATTTTAAAAATATAGTCGTGCAGTCATATTATTTATTAGAAAAAATTAAGAAAAAAGATCCCAGTATAGCATCATAACTGTACTATTTATTAACAAAAATCAAATAAAAAAGGACCTGAGTATTAGCGCCTAGGTGGCCTTTTTTTAATATTATATATCTATAAATATTTTTAAAGAGTATAGCCGCACATTTATACTCCATGTGGCTATACTATTTATTAAAAAAAAAATCCAGAGTAACAACATGAAAAGCACCATTGCTCAATCTGAAAAGTTCAGCCATTATACAATATTTAAATATAATGTATTTAAATATTTATATATATATTTATTCAATAATATGTGAAAATTATGTGTATAATACATGAATTTTGTGTGTATTATTGAAAATTTTGTAAAAATATACGTGTATTAAACATAAAAAAGATATATTACAGAGTCTTTAAAACATGTACATAAAACGAAAGTATTATTGAAAAATACGTACGTACATGTATAATACGAGTATGAAACGGGAAAATGCTAAATTCTTTATACGATTAATAACTCTGAAAAAGTAAAAAATCAAAATGGGATAATAGAGACTCAGGTAATGGCCTAATCTACTCTTATCAATAAACGAAACTCAATAAAAAAAGGGACTCAATATATATTTAAAGAGTATAATGGCGCGGCTATACTATTTATTAAAAAAATATAAATAAAAAAAGGGCCCCCAGTGATTAATAGTGTGCCACATCTTTAATGGCTCTCAACATTCAAAAATCCAGATTTTTCTTAAACTTAAAGAAAGGTGATCAAAGATGTGGCGCTATTGGAACTCAAGTAGAGTGGAAAGCAAGGGATACGTAGCTCAAATAGTTAAGAGTAGTTTTCCCTATATTAGAGGTCCTATGTTCGAATCCCACCTTTCCAATATCACTTGTGCTAAAAATAAAATAAACAAAAATAATGGAAAATTAGAAATTAGTAATGATTAAAGAACACAATTTTATATTATAGAACTATAAATATCATAATCCACATGGGATTAGTTTGTCAGACCAGCCTTTACAAAATATGCAAAGCTTATTTACTGTTTCACCCCTTAGAACGGACACTCAGTCTCACTTTACTTCATCAAACTAAAATTTTCTCATTTAACCCACTTGAATCTCTAAAAATTGTTGAAACTTTCTCACGTTACCGCTTTCGTCTATTTCCATCCACAAATCGATTAAATGTGATGACGTGGCATGGACATTCTAGTAATTTTAGCTCATTATCTTCTCTCTTCTCCCTTTCTGTCTGTTCGTCTGCCTCTCTCTTCTCTCTCCTCCCGAACCCAACCTCTATTGCACCCACCCCCACCCTCCCCCTCCTTTCTATCCTCTATTCTCTCTTCTCTCTTCTCTCTGCCTCTTTCTCTTATATGCCTCTCTCTTCTCTCCTCTTATCTTGCCAAAACCAACCCCCACCCCATACCTAACCCTCCATGGAATTACTCAACAGGCCCAAACCACCACTACTCAAAATTTTTAAAATAACCTCCTCAACAGTCACTCCCCATATTCTCTCTTAAGAGAGAGAGAGAGAGAGAGAGAGAGAGAGAGATGGGGATGGGTGGGGGAGGGGAGAGAAGAGAGAGGCAGAGCAAGTGAGGTGAGAGAGAGATAGTTAGACATAAGAGATAATATAGATAAGTAATGGACGATGGAAGTGGTAAAGTGAGAAAATTTCAGTAATGTTTAGTGATTCTGTGTGTTAAGTAAGAAAATTTCGATTTAAAGGGATAAAGTGAGACCGAACATCCGTTTAGGGGTGAAATAGTGAATAAACCATATGCAAATTAACAACACCAGTCAATAAAGAAAGAAACGAAGACTTCTCAAAAAAAAGGAAGAGAAATTAGAAGTAAAGTTGCCAGAAAGAATAGGAGGGAAAATTAGACTATGCTATTTCAAATTTTAGGAAATTTTTATAATTAAAGATCAATCCAACGAGACACTGTTCCTATGAAACAGTGTAATGACGAAAATGCTCCTCATTTTACTGTTGTTCTCCGTTTTTGTTTTCTATTCAGCACAGTGAATTGTCCAAACTGCCCTCCACTAAATCTTTTCTTCTGTTCCCTTTTTACCCCTTCACCTTCGGATCTCTTCCGCTGCCAACGTTTAGTTCGCTCAGAGAAGCCTTCCATTTCCAATCGATTTCGAACCAGCTGGTTAGGCTGGTTGGGGGGCAGCGATGGAAGGTCAGAGTTCATTGTTGGAGATGCGTCGGGGGCCGTCGATTTTGGTTTGGGAGGCGCTCTGCGAATCCAACCGCCCTCATCGGTTTTCCTCTCAGATGTTGCGTTCGAGTGTTGCCTTTCCAGCTGCGCTTCATCCTTCTTCTCATCGCACGGTTTTAGCTCAAAGGGATTTCTAGGTTTCGTAAAAAAAGGTTGGTTTTAACGTTCTTTTGGTTTTCTAGGTTTCGTAAAAAAAGGTTTATTCATTTGTCATGCCGAAAATTGAGAAGTAAATCAGAAATTGAGTTTGGTTTGTTGTTACAGGGAGGAAGATCGAAGGAAAAAGAACTGGAGTAATCAATATAGGAACCCCAGTCTGCTCATCAATCTGGTAATTGATGTCTGTGTGGCTGATATTCTGTTTGCCTTGACTCCTCCATTTTTTATTCTTTATTTCTTATGACTCCAGATCAGAACTATAAGTCTAAGAGATGTAGCCAGAATGATTGGCAAGAGATGTAGCCAGATCAGAAGGCTGCGTGTTCTGAGAATTGTGTGTAGAGTAAAAATATACTGGCTTTTGTTCATTCCGACGTGAAAAAATGCCAATATATTTGTGTGTAGAGTAAAAATATACTATCTTTTCTCTTCTTAATGCTACTTAATTGCTGTTTTGCTTTAGCATATTTTTTATTTTTTAGGAAAACATAGTCTCATCCAACTGGAGTAATCAATATAGGAACCCTCTGCGTGTGCATTTATTCTGATTAATTAAGGGTCTAGATTCTGAATGAGAACTGTCATTAGTTTTCGAAATTCTTCCCTTTTCACTTTCGCCAAAATGTTCAGATTGAAACTATGATCCTCATTCAAAAAGATGACCAGCTATTTTACGCCAAAGTTTCTCTAAACTTGACTTTCTGAAAGAGAAGATTTGAATGACTGATGAAACAGAGAATATGATTATATGTCAAATATTACATTGTTGTTCTTCAAAATTATTGGCAAGAACAACTATAATTCTAAGAGCCATTTACTTAATCTAACATGGCAAGAAAGAGTCGTAAAACACCAGCAGAGAAATGAGCTTAGTCATGTATCTGCATCTATTTCACATCTATATAGGCAAGTTGCGAGCTTTAAGGCTGCATTTATGTTCCCTTCCTTTACAGTCAACGTGTTCTTAGTCTTAATTTTGTATGTTTTTCTATTTTAAATTGCACCTCTTGGCACTTTTTGAAAAACTTATATATTTATTGGGACAGAGAGAGAGTGAGAGAGTAAAGGTAGGAAACCACTATGAAGTAGAGATTAAATCAAGTTCCAAAAGAAATTGAATATGATGTAGTAGTTTCCGATTAGAAACCATTTCTGCAAACTCAAAAATATGTAATTCCCCTACAAGTTCCCACTAGAGAAGAATACAAGTATCAGGACCGGTTAATTTTTCCAGGAATAATACTATTATCTGGTACCTGGTTACATGATTGCTGCTGAGGGAGCCCATCATGGTCAATAATAGTTCTGTACTGACTTCAGTTTTTCCTCTCCTCATCAGCTCTCTGTGACACATATCCATGATCAACCATCCTGTAAGTAAAGAAGGAACATGAAAAACTTAGCATTTATTAAGCAACACAAAAATCATTATATATGTCAGACAATGTGAGTGACAAATAGGGTGCATAACAACTTAGTTGGAGCAAATGTTGACACAGACAGTTTGCTCCAAACAACAAAGTATTGGCTGGTTTACAAAAGCTTTATATGGAGATTTGTAACTGTGGCAGATCCCTGGCCTTTTCAATTACTTATAAGATTTCTTCATATAAAGCCCTTTGTTTAATATCTGTTTCTATTGTGCTCCCTTAGTTTTTGGTGGGTGTTGGCGTGTAAGTGTGTGTTCTTCCCGTTATTGACACTGAACCCATTTTTCTGGGAGGCCATAACCGTATAAAGTAGGTATAAATTCGGTGAATGCTGTTGATTTCATAAGAAAATGCCTAAAATTTTCATGTCATAAGGCCTACCCAACAGATGGCTATACTGTTTTTGCCTATTGACAAACTTTATGTTTTGTCTCTTTAGTTTCTATATGTTTCATGGACTTGTTTCATTTGTTTCACCCTTTTGGATTATTTCTAATAAGTTTTTACCTTCGAGTGCATATAATTCTGAAGTTCTGTGAAATTCTTTGCAACTTTCCATAACCTTTAAAATTCATGTCCTCTTTTTCATCATAAGATGTTTTTTGTGTTTTGTTTGTAATGTTGGGTATCTTTTCATCAGTATTATGATTGTTTTTGTAGATAATTTCTTTGTTATTTTCCAGTTGATGAAGGGAGAACCTCGAATGGGAGACCTTCTCACATCAAATCCCATGATTGAAATGGAAGGGGATGAATTTTGGCCACTTTCTGGGAAACCCTTTTTTGATGTGGTTCTCACGAAAACAAATATCAACCACCTGTACCAACTGGTAAATTATCCCCTAATTTCCCATGTTTAAATGGTGGTGAGACTTCCTCTTATGTCAATTTCTTAACCATTGGTGCCAGTCTACACGATCATAGTTGCCAATTTTATTGCATAATCAAATTGTTTGATTTCTATCTCTTAATTATTGTCAATTGATCATTGCAATGAAGTAGCAATTTGTTTGATGAGCGTAATGCATGGGCAATTTGCACATACGTCTGTTTTAAATAAAGGGTTGCCTTGTTCAAGTGAAAAATAATCTACCTACTGCTGAAACTTTCTTTTTCTTTGCAATTGTAGGCAATAATGTTGTACATTGCTAATTCTCTAATTTGGGATTATCATTTTCTTCGCTTTAATTAGTCTAATTCGTTGAAATAATCATTTGTTCGAGCAGGTGGTCCCAGGCAAATTTAGTGCAACACTACCTTCCTGTTCAATCCCTACGGTTCTCACATTTCAGGGCAAGAACTGGGAGATGATATATCATGGATCATCCAGCCATAAAAGGCTTGATAACTGGAAAGCGTTTGCCATTGACAACAATTTGAAGGTTGGAGATGCGTGTGTGTTTGAACAACTGGAGTGCAGCAGTACTAGGCTAGTATTCAGAGTCCAAATTCTCAGAGGTGACATCCCATCTGAATTTCTAGACAAGCTCGATGGTGATAATGTAGATGCACCAATTGTTCTCGAATAGTATATGACGTATTGTCTTTTATTGGATGTTGTCAATTTCCCGAATGAGATTACTTTCGGGAGCTAATATGATTTGAATTTGATGAAACTCTGGCAGAGCCTATTAAGGATGCGATAATTGTATGATTTTGAGTCCATGTGTTCTAGTTTAGGAGTTATGGTGTCATTTGATACGATACTTTAGTAACATGAGCATCTATTATTGTTCGGATACCTTTAAAGAACGTAATTTAGTAGTGTATTTTATAACAATCCTCTTCAATAATTTCTTACTGTTCAACTGATCTGTTGCTCAAAATGCATCAAACAACCTGAGGAATGATTTCTGAACGTCTCATAATCTACTATAGTAATTGTGATCTTTGTTTTCTGATTAGCGTGGAGGTTTTATGTGGCCATCATGGTTCATGGCTTGAAGGACAGAATTTTCACAAATTACATTCTGATGTAACTGAAAGAGGATGTCACCCGTATATTAAAACTCCAGGCTCTCTGTTTAGTCTATGGTAAATCTAATTTAGTTGTCTCCCAGCCAACTTTAGATAAGAATGTTTAGGTTACATTAGTTAAATCTTAAATGTAATGAGTAGGAGCTTAAGAGAACAAAAACAATCTGTCTGTTTGAACTCCTGTTCATTGGAGTAGTTTAGATGGTAAAAGTTGAATCGGTTCATAAGGTTTGGGGCTAGCTCAGGTAGTACGGGAATATGGAAGAGGGTTAGGGTTAGGATTAGGGTAGATGATGAACTAGATCACATGCCTGCTTCTTGCATTCCTGTTCGTTGTTCACATATTTTTGTAAATTTACTTTGAAGTATCTATTCTGTTAACTACTTCACTACTTGTGCTATTGACTCCTTGAACCAAACGGGCTCTAATCCCTGATGGTCTTGGATAAGATAGTAGTAAACAGTATTCAGTTTTTAGTATGATGATGGAAAGCTGTGCCAGCAGATCTATTTGCTACGCTTGGATTAGAATGAGAAAGTCATACCCCAAAAGGAAGTTAAAAACAAAAACAGACGTGTGAGAGATGATAAGAAGCCATCTACAGAACTTTCTAACATTCTTTCTGACATCATAAGTTCTATGTTACATGTTATCTCTTTATCTTCCTAGTCAGAGAAACAAGCATATACTCATCACTTGTATCTATGTTGTCATGTTTTTAACTCTCATTCAAATCTCACACATCTGTAAGCTGTTCCAGAAGTTACCATTAAAATATGTGAAATATGTGAACTTGAAACTAAGAGGAGGACTGTGAGGAGGATTGTGAGGAGGACTGTGAGTAGGATTGCATGACTTGTGTCCGATTTCTGTTCCTCTCAAAGCGGTTGTAAGCAGTCCTGGTCCGTAGGAATAGGAATAAGCTTGAAGCTAACCCTACTATTGAAATACAGCCCCACCATATGAATGTCTGCCTATAGCATGACCTACCCATGCACAATGTTGCATCCTTTAACAAGCTCACCCCGATTATTGAGCTTCCTTCATTGGAATCATACACCAGAGCTGCAAGAAGGCCATATAGGAGCGAGCCAATTGGGATGTCGGTGATAAGGATGTTATGGTTTACACCAGCGCTGTTTGGCCCAAAAAGCTCTGATGTAACTGAAACAGCTGCAGAAAACACAAAGCCAGAGCTTATCCCAATCCCAAATTGAAGGTAGATGAGTTGTCCGAAGGGAACCTTGAGGGGAAGTTCCTACGAGCCCACTCACGAGCATATGCAATGCCAGGCAGACACAAAGGTAGGATCAGGAGAAAAAGAGCACCAACTAAGAGCATCCAAACTTTCGATACATGAGAGGATAGGGAGTTGAGGAGGAGTAGATATAGGCCTGTGATCACAGCTAGGATGTTTAGGCAAAGAAAAATGATGGAGTCACGGCGAGTGGCATCAGCAGGAAGTGACTGAATCGGCGGATGGCGGAGTACGGGGATGAGAGCAACACCGGATGTGAAGAGAGGTACTAGAGCATTGAGGAAGAGGTAGATGGTGTCATCATTTGGGTTTATTGCATTGGCAATGAGGGTGTAGAGGGCTGCACTTACCCCATTGAAACTGACTGTGAGGGACAATGCAAGTGCCCGGTTCGCTTGGAAGTGTTTGATGCATAGAACATAGCAGACTGTGTTGAACCAGCAGATGCTGCATCCAGCCAACAAGCATAGAATGAATACCTGCCGAACCGAAAAAGAAAAATTAACCGTAATCACCTTCTTGATTGAGAATGAAAACCATTAGTCTGTTATGAGCTAGCTTCTGTTATGAGAAAACAATAGGACTAGCTTTACTCTAACGTTGTCTTTTTTTGTATATTTTGGATATAAATATAAATATAATATAAGTGGCACTAAATTTAGCTTTGCTAGCTTTTTCTTTCTTCTAAAACAAATAACACCCTTACGACATCGAAAAAAATCCTTTCTTTTTACATCATTAATTCTTCTTAATGAATCGATTTTTTTAAAATATAGAAAAAAGAAAGTTGATTAATTATCTTACACTTTCATTCTAGTTAGTGTGTTTTGGTACAAGGTTTCTAGATAATTTGTTTATCTATATATCTATATATATAAAGCAAAAGGCAGAGAATGGTAAAACATTCAAAATACCATAAAATGCCCTTGGTTAATGCAAACATTAAGAATTGAAATTATTAATTAAATGAGAATAATATGATAAATTCAAACTTTTTCATATTAAAAAAAGGTAAAATTAACAGTAAAACTAAAAGAAAAATCAGATAATGGATTCTATTTTTATGGAACACAACCACCCATTATCTTTTTTAATTCTAAAATAAATTAAAAAAAAAACAAACAAACCTCTCGCGGGTGTGGAAGCCCGTGTAGAGCGGCTAATGTTCATATATGCATGGAGACTGTAAGTCTTCAGTGGGTCCACAACCTTATTAAATGGTTTGAAGTTTTTTCTTAAGAAGCTGGTAGATTGAATGATGGATGTGTTTGTTTCACTAACCATTGCTAACTGTCTCTTTCTATAGTTGAATTTGTCAGGAGACTAAAGGAATCCAATGCATCAACGTTGATACTTGTGGTTGTGGTCAAGAGACTAAAGGAATCCAATACTTGCGGTTGTGGTCAAGAGACTAAAGGAATCCAATGCATCAACGTTGATACTTGCGGTTGTGGTAGATTGAATGATGGATGTGTTTGTTTCACTAACCATTTCTAACTGTCTCTTTCTATAGTTGAATTTGTCAGGAGACTAAACAAATCCAATTCATCAACGTTGATACTTGCGGTTGTGGTAGTTCTATGTGGAGGTTAGAGGTTCACCAAATTATGTCAATTTTCCCTTAACTTCCCAAGAAAAGACAAAAATTAAAGATTCAAAAATATAAAAAAAGAAGAAGAAGAATTAAAAAAAAAGAGATATTTAGTCATATACCCATTCTTAGTACTAAAACTATAAATAAATCCTACATCATTTAATTTTCATAAACATACCCAAAAAAAACCCAAAAAATGATAGCTGGACCTATTGAATTTAATTTTAATTATTAAATTACTTTGATACCCCATTGAGTGTTTTGGGTTTTTTATGAGGTTTTGGGGTTGGGTTTGTTTTAAGAAATTGATGGCAGTTTTGTAATTTAAAAGAAGTTAAAAGCTTTTTTGTTATGTTGTAAATGAGCTTTGGGTGTGTTTCTAAAGTCCATTTCATATATGGTTTTTTTAAATAATTTGGGCTCCTGTATTGGGTATAATAGTGAATCTCCCATCAATATTTTATTATCGATGTTAGTCAGAAGTTCACATTATTGTTGCTATCAATATTTTATTATCGTTGTTAGTTGGAAGTTCACATCATTGCTATCAACATTATTGCAAACAACTTGGAAAAAATGATTATCCTCCAATTTTGAATTTTCTTAGAGAAAATCATCTACAAGAAAAACAACTTTTGAACTTGGACTTTGAGTGATTAATATCAGTTTTCAGCTGCCTTACAAATAAAAGGAAATAGTCAAAACATATATGATATATCACGGCAACAACTTTGACTACTTCGTGAAGGCCAAGTCCTCTTCTAGGGGCCCAAAGGTTTCAATATCAATAATTTGCATTCAGGGGTTGTTGTTTCCCGACTTCTCAATTTGCGTTGTGTGGTGGTGGTTTGCATCGTTTTCAAGCATGGTTGTTCTTATATATATAAATACATTTGAGCAACGGCACATACACAAAGCAACATGCGAGTGCAAGCTTATAAACTAATGGCTCATGACTTCCTTCTCTTCCTCTTATTCTCTTGCATTATATCTACAAATATTCATGCCTGCAAACAAACTGAACGCAGCTCCCTCCTGTCATATGCCTCCACTCTATCTTCTCCTCCTTTAAATTGGACATCCCTTGATTGCTGTTGTTGGAAGGGCATCACTTGTGATCGAGATGGTTGGGTCACCCGTTTGCTCTTATCTTCCAAAGGGCTCAAAGGAGGTATCTCTCCCTTTTCACTTGTAAATCTCACCCATCTCACCCACTTGAACCTTTCCCACAATTCACTATATGGTTCACTTGAAACTCAGTTCTTCTTGTCTTTGAATCAACTTGAGATCCTTGATTTGAGCTATAACCATATTTTTGGAGAACTACCACTTTCTCTACCATCTATTAATATACGGATAGTTGATTTGTCCAGCAATCACTTCTTTGGTGCAATTCCATCTTCATTCTTCCAAAGAGCAAGCAACTTGACTAGTTTCAATGTCAGCAACAATACCTTCGCAGGATATGTCCCATCCTCTATTTGTCTCCAACATTATTCTCCCTTCCTTAGGCGATTGGATTTTTCTTCCAATGTATTTAGTGGCAACCTTGCTCCTGGGCTAGGGAAGTGTTCCAAACTGCAGGTTTTTCGTGCCGGTCACAATAACATCTCAGGATTATTTCCAGAAGATATTTATAATGCTACCAAAGTTGAAGAAATTGCATTACCTTTCAATTCACTACATGGAGCCATTAGTGATAAAATTGTCAACTTCACCAACCTTGCCATCCTTGACCTTTCCTTTAATCAGTTTGGTGGCGAGCTTCCCCTCAATTTGGGGAAGCTCTCCAAGTTGAAGTTTGTGACCTTAGATTACAACAATTTAGAAGGTGTGTTGCCCCCATCTTTGATGAATTGCACAAACCTTGTAGAACTGCATTTGGGAATAAACCACTTGGAAGGAGACATCTCTATGCTTGATTTCTCAAGACTGAGTCAACTTACTAAACTCGACCTAATGATCAATAACTTCACTGGTACGGTTCCAGTAAGCCTTTACTCATGTAGGTTCCTAAAAGCCATTCGGTTGACTGGAAATCATCTAGAGGGACAAATACAAGCTGAGATACTTTCATTGAAATCCTTGTCCTTCCTCTCGCTTGGTTTCAACCAATTCACCAACCTCACAGGGGCAATGAAGATATTGATGAGGTGCAGAAGTCTTCACGCACTCTTTCTTACTGGTTCCTTTGTGGGTGAGCGAATGCCATCTGATGATGACATGGTTGATTTTCACGGATTCCAAAATCTTCGGATCTTGGCTTTGGTTAATTCTAACCTCACTGGTCAAATACCTTTATGGTTATCAAAGCTCAAGAATCTAGAGGTCTTGGCTCTACGTTCTAATCAAATCACAGGGCCAATTCCAAGTTGGTTGGGGACTCTTCCTAGACTGTTTTATATAGGCTTGTCAGAAAACCGAATTTCAGGTGAATTTCCAAAGCAACTTTGTCGACTACCAAGTTTGCTTTATGAACCTAATATTTCATCTCAAGTAGACAACTATGAATTGGAATTTCCTGCCTTCAGCTTCACCCTCAGCAAAACCGGAAATCAAACTTTTACATCGCAAACATTAAATTCTTATCCAGCAACGATAGATTTGTCTAAGAATAACATTAATGGTTATATACCTGCTGAGATCGGCCAATTGCAACTTCTCCGCAAGTTGGCTCTTGACTCCAACAACTTCTCCGGCATCATTCCAGACCAAATATCTAACGTAACAAATTTAGAGGTTTTGAACCTCTCCATGAATCACTTGTGTGGAATAATCCCATCGTCATTGACGAGCCTTAATTTCTTGAAAGAATTTAATGTCTCCTACAATAACCTCGAAGGACCAATACCAGTAGGCTCCCAACTCCAAACCTTCGACACTTCTGCCTTTGAAGGGAATCCAAAACTTTGTGGTGCCCCACTTCCAAATAAGTGCGAACCAAGTAAGGGCATTGATGCAGATCACAAGAACAATAAAGACGTGGACAATGGACTTCATCAACTTCCGTGGTTTTATATTTTCACTGCGTTGGGGTTCATAGTAGGATTTTGGGGAGTTTGTGGTTCTTTAGTTATTAGTAAGACATGGAGATATGTGTATTTTCGATTCATAGACAATCTACAAGATAGGCTCTATGTGATGATAAGTTGATAACTATCCAGATCAATGTGATGAAAAGAAGGCTTTAGAGGCTATATATTATTAATGTTGTACTTTTTATTTTGCATTTTCAGTTTGCTTTTCGTTTTTCTTCTTCTTTTGCTTCTTTATTTCAAAGTAACTGGACTCAAATTTAAAGGATATATGTTGTTTTGTTCATAAATTTATGGGGGAATTTGTACCTAACTGTTGATTTGCGCCTTGTTGTACCTATATATCTTTCGATATACTTCCTATCATTTTTTTTAGAAAATTAATGATATGAACTTTTATTTTCGCCAATTTTCTGGCTACCGTCTAAATCCTCAACATTACATCCAATTTGCCGTTAAATATGAGAGAAAATTGGTCAATTTATACATTAAAAAGAACTAAAGACTGAAAAATAAAATAACATGAAATATAAAATAAAAAAAATAAAAAATTTAATAAAAATTAACCTAACACTCCCACAGCCTTCTCTCTCTCTCTCTCCTCTCTCTCTCTCTCTCTCTCTCTCTCTCTCTCTCTCTCTTCTCTTTCCTCCTCCCCCAAATTCCATCCAATTCCTCTTAGCCACTACCCTAATTCCAACTCACGAAACCATAACACCCACCTTTAATTTCAAAAACTCAACATGATTGTTTTCACCAATTGAAGCAATACACATTTGTTATTTTAAATACCCATTTGACTTGGCCATTGATAGGCTAAAAGGCATTGGGGAAAACATTTCGATCATGTTTATGGATGCTATTTCCACCTCCTCTCATATTTCTTCACCCACCTTATTCTCAACATTTTAAAGACAAGTTTACCTCTTTATAAAATGACTTTAAAGGACTTACATAACCCACCTAAAAAAAGCTAGAAACTTATCCAACGTGAATGCTAACAACTTTAAAAAAATTAGATTAAAATAGAGATTTTCTATTTAAACCCCTCACTTCTCTTTATTCACTCTATATTCAAAGTTCAGCCCAAATTTAATTCAATTTTTCACAATTTCTAAGAAAACTCCACTATCTTCCCATATTATCCCTAAATACACACTCAACAGAAAAAATAAATAAATAAATAACTCATTAACCTCACACCCCACACCACTCTAAGTTCACCTCAACCTCACATTACTTATGTAACATCCTGACCCAAAGCTGGGTTTAAGATTTGCAATCACTGACCTATTTAGGAAAGCAATTATGAACATGAGGATGATTAAATTCAAATGCAATGATCGTGATTGAGTGAAGGCAGTGTGTGCAGAGAATTGCAAGTGGGTTTGTTTTGCTTTAGCAATGAATGGTAGTGAATGGGTTCAAGTGAAGAAGTTGGTTGACGTGTATGATTGTGGGACAGTTGACCACAACTTTCATGCTAACTCAACATGGTTAGCTCAGAGATATGCTACTCAACTGTCTAGACTGCATAATTGGGACATGAGAACTTTTAAGCAGCAGGTACAAGAAGATTTGTCTGTGATAGCTTCTAAATCCCATATATAGGGCAAGGCAGAAGGCAACATCCATAACTGAGAGGACTTATGAAAAACAGTATGAGTTATTATGGGATTATGCTGCTGAACTAAGAAGGACAAATGTGGGTAGCACAATCATTATCAAATGTGAGTTGGAGGGTGAAAGGCCAAGGTTTCAGAGGATTTACATTTGCTTGGCTACAGTTAAACAAGGGTTTTTGCAGGAATGTAGGCCAGTGATAGGATTTTATGCTTGTTATCAAAGGTCATCACCCTGGACAATTGTTATCTACTGTTGGTGTGGATCCTAACAATGGCATGCATCCTATTGCGTATGCAGTGGTTGAGATGGAGAATTATGAAACATGGTCATGGTTTTGTCAACTGTTGGCAGAGGACCTTGGAATTGAAAACAGCACAAGATATGTCTTTATCACAGACAAGCAAAAAGGCTTGATTAATGCAGTACATGATAATTTTCCAAACGCTGAGCACAGACACTACCTCAAACACTAAGAAGCAAATTTTTTGCTTGATGGTTTTGATTGGGTGGCAGCCTTAGATCTATCACAATGGTGTAGAGCTCACTTTAAAAATCATTCCAAGTGTGACATCTTTTTGAATAATATGTGTGAGGCTTTTAATGGTGCCATTGTAGAAGTCCGAGACAAACCCATTTTAACCATGCTAGAGAGGATTAGATACTATATTATGTTGTTGATGGCAACTAGAAGAGCATCTTGTGAGAGATGGAAACATGACATTGGCCCAAGAATTTTTGGCATTTTGGAGAAAACGTAGAGAGAATCAGCTTGGTGCATTCCAAAGCTTGCTGGAGAGTTTATATGAGGTCAAAAACCATGATGGAAATCAGGTTGTGGTTGATTTGGCAAGGCATAGTTGTTCATGTAGGAGATGGGATATCGCTGGGATCCCATGAAAGTATGCTTGTGCTGCCATTGGGCAATTAAATGGGGATCATATTGCTTATGTTGATGCTTGTTACAAGAATGAAACCTTTATGAGAGCTTATAGGCCAATGGTTCACCCAATGACAAGTGAAGACTTGTGGCCTAAGTGTCATAGACCTCCTTTGATGCCACCATTTTATCACAAACAACCTGGGAGAACAAGAAAGAAGAGGAAGAGGTCAGCAGGTGAACAACCACCAAATCTAATCCTACAGCCACCAAGTTGCAGAGGTATAACTTGGAAACTACCAAATCTTCTTAAACTCCACATGCGTCTGAAACAGCCTAAGCTTCTCAAACTGCCCCACCTTCTCAAACTGCTCAAACTTCTCAAACTGCCAAAAAAAGAAAGAGGTTCAAGTCTCTCACAAAGAGGATTAAACTTCCTAAAAAGAAGGATGGTTCTCAAACTGTGCAAGGAAGTGAATCTGTGCAAACTTGTCCAGGTTCTCAAACTGGCCAATGTTCTCAACCTGCCCAACTTCTCAAACTATGCATGGATCTCAACCAAGTGCAAGCTCATCACACCCTTTTGCCAATGGTACAAACAAAAAGGGGTTCAAATCTCTTGCCAAGAGGAAGAAATTTACCAATCGGAAGGATTTGTTGGATGGTTATCAACCTTGGAGATTCTGATGATGTGCAAGTGTTATATGTTTTGTTAAAATGCCTCTTATGAAGACCTTTTCATTCCACTATTATTTTGCAAGTCCAATTGTTAAGGACAAGTGTTAAGGACAACCCTTTCAAATACGGCTTTTGATTGAACTATTATTTTGCAAGTCCAACTTTTAAGGACTTGATCAGCAATGTTATAAACTGTGAGGAGTTGATGGATGTTATAAACTATAAGGATTTGATTAGTGTTATAAATTGTTTCCAACTTGGTGCAATTTTGATCAATGTTATGAACTGTTTCCAGGTATTCATTAGATAAGTTGATTTGTATACTTTTTTTCGTACCTTCTAGGAAGTGTTGGAGGTATTGTTGTTTTGGTAATGCTTTTGATACCATTACAGAAGTACCAAAATCCAAAAAATGACTCCCACATTGTGTTCAAAAACCACATTCATTAGATAAGTACCAATACATTGTTACATACAGTTGCAAAATCAAACCATGTTCCTCCATCATTATATACGTACCAATACATGATATTTTACATACAGTTGCAATACGGACTTCTAAAATCTACCTAATTCCTCCATTGCAAGGGCCACATTTTGTGGCAAATGTTACATAAATTGCCAAAACAACAACAATATTACTAAACCTCAGGAAAGAATAAGCCAACCCATTAACTTTCTTTCTCTTGATTGACGACGCCCAACGTCCTTTTCAAGTTCCTTCAATCTTCCAAGTAGCCAAATCACCATAGCCTTCTCTCTAGGTGGAAATTCAACATCCACCCAAACAAAAAACCCACATCCTTTTTTCCTCCTATGCATCAACCATTAATAGAAATTAATAAAAAAATTTAACCCAATTCACAGACTTTGAACAACAAAACTTACCCCTGATGAGTTTGGACAAACATGGAATCTTTTGAAGTGGGTTGGCCTTAGTCCAAGTAGTTTGTAAGCGACCTATCTTCCCACAAAAGCAACACGGTGCCACCACATCCAACTATTCCCAAACCTTGGTCAAGGGGGCAAAGTGGGTCACTTTAACTTTGAGAGGGTAAAGTGAGAATTGACCAATGTTTCAGGGGGCACTATAGTAGTTAAGCCTTTTTTTTTACAACAAGTAAGAATTAATCTTAGCCTCTTAAATTATTTCATAATTAGTAAAATACAAAACGAGAAAAATACGAATAAAATATGTATGTGTTTTATTCGGCAAAATTTTAACAAGTTACAACTGAAAAGTTCGGCCACTATACAATATTTTAATATAATTTATTTAAATATTTAAATATTTTTTTTATTCAATAATATGTAAAAATTATGTGTATAATACATGAATTTTGTGTATTATTGAAAATTTTGTAATAACATACGTGTATTAAACATGAAAAAGATATTTTACGAAGTCTTTAAAACATGTACAGAAAATGAAATTATTATTTAAAAATACATACGTACATGTATAATACGAGTATGAAACGGGGAAAATGCTAAATTCTTTATACGATTAATAACTCTGAAAAAGTAAAAAATCAAAATTGGATAATAGAGACTCAGGTAATGGCCTAAACTACTCTTATCGATAAACGAAACTCAGTAAAAAAAGGGACATATATTTAAAGAGTATAATGGTGCGGTTATACTATTTATTAAAAAAACATAAATAAAAAAAAGGGACCCCAGTGATTAATAGTGTGCCACATCTTTAATGGCTCTCAACATTCAAAAATCCAGATTTTTTCTTAAACTTGAAGAAAGGTGATCAGAGATGTGGCGCTATTGGAACTCAAGTAGAGTGGAAGCAAGAGATACGTAGCTCAAATAGTTAAGAGCAGTTTTCCCTATACTAGAGGTCTTATATTCGAATCCCACCTTTCCAATATCACTTGTGCTAAAAATAAAATAAACAAGAAGAATGAAAAATTAGAAATTGGTAATGATTAAAGAACACAATTTTATATTATAGAACTATAAATATCATAATCCACATGGGATTAGTTTGTCAGACCAGCCTTTACAAAATATGCAAAGACTTATTACTGTTTCACCCTCTAGAACGAACACTCAGTCTCACTTTACCCCCTCAAATTGAAATTTTCTCATTTAACCCACTTGAATCTCTAAAAATTGCTGAAATTTTCTCACTTTACCACTTTCATCCATTTCCATCCACAAAACCGTTAAATGTGATGACGTGGCATGGACATTCTAGTAATTTTAGCTCATTATCTTCTCTCTTCTCTCTGCCTCTTTCTCTTATATGCCTTTCTCTTATCTCCTCTCCCCTCGCCAAAACCAACCCCTACCCCATACCTAACCCTCCATGGAATTACTCAACACGCCCCAACCACCACTACTAAAAAATTTTTAAAAATCTTCTCAACAATCACGATATTCTCTCTTAGCAGAGAGAGAGAGAGAGGAGAGAGAGAGAGAGCGAGAGAGAGAGGATGGAGATGGGTGGGGTGCGATGGGGGGTTAGATGGGGGAAGGGAGAGAAGAGAGAGGCAGAGCAAGTGAGGTGAGAGAGAGATAGTTAGACATAAGAGACAATATAGATAAATAATAGACGACGGAAGTGGTAAAGAGATAAAATTTCAGCAATATTTAGAGATTCTGGGTGTTAAGTGAGAAAATTCAATTTAAGGGAATAAAGTGAGACCGAGCATCCGTTTCAGGGGTGAAACAGTAAATAAGCCATATGCAAATTAACAACACAAGTCAATAAAGAATGAAACGAAGACTTCTCAGCCAAAAAGAAGATAAATTAGAAGCAAAATTGCCGGAAAGAATAGGAGGGAAAATTAGACTATGCTATTTCAAATTTCAAATTTTAGGAAATTTACACCTAAATACATAACCTAAAGGAATATACCCAATTTTTAGGATACAGATACCCAATTTTTAGAGTTAATACAAAGATGGAAGTACAGTAACCATCAAAGGTTAGTCCAGGGAGAGTACACCGACATCAACAATGTAACTCCCAACATAGCCACACATGACCAGAATGAATACATTAAAGATACCGAGAGCCTAGACATAACATGCAAGAACACACGACTCACCTGAGCACTCAACTACAAATGCAAAACTACCATTAACTCTCACAAGCAAATTACAAGGAGAGAATCGTATGCAACACACTCAAACGAGTTGAAGCAAATAATACAACATAAAACTATTCTTCCTTTCTGTAATCAAAAGTAATTCCTCTCTGCCATAATAATATTACATACTAATCATGTGTGCATTATCTAACTAAGGAGGCTTAAACCATACAAGCTTATTGAATTCATGCATGCGACTTACAAACCTTCATGAATTGATAATACAGTTGTTACCTAACTTCATTAGAAAATCACTTGTGCACAAATTACTCAAAACACAGATTCATCCCACCCATTATTTCACTAACAATGCTATTCCATACATCAACGGATTTATCACACAGTGAACTAAACCTAATACATAATTCAATTAAAATGCCACAACCAAAATACATAATTCAACTAAAATGCCATTATGCCACTACCAAAATACATAGTTCAACAAAAATACCAAAAATCAAATTCAAATGAGGCTACGTAATTAATAGACAAAGTTCAACCAAAACACCACAACCAAAGAAGTTTACTACTATATCATACATCATAAATAATTCTCCCTCCTGGTCTAGTCCAGGTATTAATGCTTGAGGTGTTGTGTGTTTTTGAATTTCAGCAAAATAATCTTGTTTTGATAGGATTTAAAAACTGAAGTGTTAACGGGAGAACAGCGCTAATGAACAATCATGAAAGTATGCAGACTAAAGATCAATTCAACTAGACACTGTTCCTATGCAACAGTGTAATGACGAAAATGCTTCTCATTTTACTGTTGTTCTCCGTTTGTTTTCTCTTTCTCACAGTGAATTGTCCAAACTGCCCTCCACTAAATATTTTCTTCTGTTCCCTTTTGCCCCTTCTCCTTCGGATCTCTTCCCCTCCCAACGTTTCGTTCGCTCAGAGAAGCCTTCCATTTCCAATCGATTTCGAACTAGCTGGTTGGGCTGGTTCGGGGGCAGCGATGGATGATCTGAGTTCATTGTTGGAGATGCGTCGGGGGCCGTCGATTTTCGCTCTGCTTTTGTTCTTCATCTCATCGGTTTTCCTCTCAGATGTTGCGTTCGAGTGTTGCCGTTCCAGCTGCGGTTCATCCTTCTTCTCATCGCACGGGTTTAGCTCAAAGGGATTTCTATGTTTTGTAAAAAAAGGGTTGGTTTTAACGTTCTTTTGGTTTTCTAGGTTGGTTTATTCATTTGTCATGTCGAAAATTGAGAAGTAAATCAGAAATTGAGTTTGGTTTGTTGTTACAGGGAGGAAGATCGAAGGAAAAAGAGCTGGAGTAATCAATAGGAACCCCCAGTCTGCTCATCAATCGGGTAATTGATGACTGTGTGGCTGATATTCTGTTTGCCTTGACTCCTCCATTTTTTATTCTTTATTTTTTATGACTCCAGACCAGAACTATAATTCTAAGAGATGTAGCCAGAATGATTGGCAAGAGATGTAGCCAGATCAGAAGGTTGCGTGTTCTGAGAATTGTGTGTAGAGTAAAAATATACTGGCTTTTGTTCATTCCGACGTGGCAAAATGCCAATATATTTGTGGCTTTTCTCTTCTTAATGCTACGTAATTGCTGTTTTGCTTTAGCATATTTTTATTTTTTAGAAAACGTAGTCCCATCCAACTGGAGTAATCAATATAGGAACCCTCTGCATGTGCATTTTTTCTGATTAATTAAGGGTCTAGATTCTGAATGAGAACTGTCATTAGTTTTCAAAATTCTTCCCTTTTTACTTTCGCCAAAATGTTCAGATTGAAACTATGATCCCTCATTCAAAAAGATGACCAGCTATTTTACACGCCAAAGTTTCTCTAAACTTGACTTTCTGAAAGAGAAGATTTGAATGACTGATGAAACAGAGAATATGACTATATGCCAATAGTACATTGTTGTTCTTCAAAATTATTGGCAAGAACTATAATTCTAAGAGCCATTTACTTAATCTAACATGGCAAGAAAGAGTCGTAAAACCCCAGCAGAGAAATGAGCTTAGTCAAGTATCTGCATCTATTTCACATCTATATAGGCAAGTTGCGAGCTTTAAGGCTGCATTTATGTTCCCTTCCTTTACAGTCAACGTGTTCTTAGTCTTAATTTTGTATGTTTTTCTATTTTAAATTGCACCTCTTGGCACTTTTTGAAAAACTTATATATTTATTGGGACAGAGAGAGAGTGAGAGAGTAAAGGTAGGAAACCACTATGAAGTAGAGATTAAATCAAGTTCCAAAAGAAATTGATTATAATGTAGTAGTTTCCGATTAGAAACCAATTTCTGCAAACTCAAAAATATGTAATTCCCCTACAAGTTCCCACTAGAGAAGAATACAAGTATCAGGACCGGTTAATTTTCCAGGAATAATACTATTATCTGGTACCTGGTTACATGATGATTGCTGCTGAGGGAGCCCATCATGGTCAATAATAGGTCTGTACTGACTTCAGTTTTTCCTCTCCTCATCAGTTCTCTGTGACACATATCCATGATCAACCGTCCTGTAAGTAAAGAAGGAACATGAAAAACTTAGCATTTATTAAGCAACACAAAAATCATTATATATGTCAGACAATGTGAGTGACAAATAGGGCGCATAACAACTTAGTTGGAGCAAATGTTGACACAGAGACAGTTTGCTCCAAACAACATAGTATTGGCTGGTTTACAAAAGCTTTATATGGAGATTTGTAACTGTGGCAGATCCCTGGCCTTTTCAATTACTTATAAGATTTCTTCATATAAAGCCCTTTGTTTAATATCTGTTTCTATTGAGCACCCTTAGTTTTTGGTGGGTGTTGGCGTGTAAGTGTGTGTTCTTCCCATTATTGACACTGAACCCATTTTTCTAGGAGGCCATAACCGTATAAAGTAGGAATAAATTCGGTGAATGCTGTCGATTTCATAAGAAAATGCCTAAAATTTTCATGTCATAAGGCCTACCCAACAGATGGGGTATACTGTTTTTGTCTATTGACAAACTTTATGTTTAGTCTCTTAGTTTCTATATTTTTCATGGACTTGTTTCATTGTGTTTCACCCTTTTGGATTATTTCTAATAAGTTTTTACCTTCAATTGCATATAATTCTTAAGTTCTGTGAAATTCTTTGCAACTTTCCATAACCTTTAAAATTCATGTCCTCTTTTCATCATAAGATGTTTTTTGTATTTTGTTTGTAATGTTGGGTATCTTTTCATCAGTATTATGATTGTTTTTGTAGATAATTTCTTTGTTATTTTCCAGTTGATGAAGGGAAACCTCAAATGGGAGACCTACTCACATCAAATCCCGTGATTGAACTGGAAGGGGGATGAATTTTGGCCACTTTATGGGAAACCCTTTTTTGATGTGGTTCTCACGAAAACAATATCGAACGCCTGTACCAACTGGTAAATTATCCCCTAATTTCCCATGTTTAAATGGTGGTGAGACTTCCTCTTATGTCAATTTCTTAACCATTGGGTGCCAGTCTACATGATCATAGTTGCCAATTTTATTACATAATCAAATTGTTTGATATCTATCTCTTAATTATTGTCAATTGATCATTGCAATGAAGTAGCAATTTGTTTGATGAGCGTAATGCATGGGCAATTTGCACATATGTCTTAGTTTTAAATAAAGGGTTGCCTTGTTCAAGCGAAAAATAATCCACCTACTGCTGAAACTTTCTTTTTCTTTGTAATTGTAGGCAATAATGTTGTACATTGCTAATTCTCAAATTTGGGGTTATCATTTTCTTCGCTTTAATTAGTCTAATTTGTTGAAATAATCATTTGTTCGAGCAGGTGGTCCCAGGCAGATTTAGTGCAACACTACCTTCCTGTTCAATCCCTACGGTTCTCACATTTCGGGGCAAGAATTGGGAGATGATATATCATGGATCATCCAGCCACAAAGGCTTGATAACTGGAAAGCGTTTGCCATTGACAACAATTTGAAGGTTGGTGATTCATGTGTGTTTGAACAACTGGAGTGCAGCAGTACTAGGCTAGTATTCAGAGTCCAAATTCTCAGAGGTGACATCCCATTTGAATTTCTAGACAAGCTCGATGGTGATAATGTAGATGCACCAATTGTTCTCGAATAGTATATGACGTATTGTCTTTTACTGGATGTTGTCAATTTCCCGAATGAGATTACTTTTGGGAGCTAATATGGTTTGAATTTGATGGAACTCTGCAAGAGCCTATTAAGGATGCGATAATTGTATGATTTTGAGTCCATGTGTTCTAGTCTAGGAGTTATTTTGTCATTTGACACGTTACTTTAGTAACGTGAGCATCTATTATTGTTCGGATACCTTTAAAGAACATAATTTAGTAGTGTACTTTATAACAATCCTCTTCAATAATTTCTTACCGTTCAACTGATATGTTGCTCAAAATGCATCAAACGACTTGAGGAATGATTTCTGAACGTCTCATAATCTACTATAGTAATTGTGATCTTTGTTTTCTGATTAGCGTGGAGGTTTTATGTGGCCATCATGGTTCATGGCTTGAAGGACAGAATTTTCACAAATTACATTCTGATGTAACTGAAAGAGGATGTCACCCGTATATTAAAAACTCCAGGCTCTCTGTTTAGTCTATGGTAAATCTAATTTAGTTGTCTCCCAGCCAACTTTAGATAAGAATGTTTAGGTTACATTAGTTAATCTTAAATGTAATGAGTAGGAGCTTAAGAGAACAAAAACAATCTGTCTGTTTGAACTCCTGTTCATTGGAGTAGTTTAGATGGTAAAAGTTGAATCGGTTCATAAGGTTTGGGCTAGCTCAGGTAGTACGGGAATATGGAAGAGGGTTAGGGTTAGGATTAGGGTAGATGATGAACTAGATCACTTGCCTGCTTCTTGCATTCCTGTTCGTTGTTCACATATTTTTGTAAATTTACTTTGAAGTATCTATTCTTTAACTACTTCACTACTTGTGCTATTGACTCCTTGAACCAAACGGTCTTGGATAAGATAGTAGTAAACAGTTTTCAGTTTTTAGAAGGATGATGGAAAGCTGTGCAAGCAGATCTATTTGCTACGCTAGGATTAGAATGAGAAAGTCATACCCCAAAAGAAAGTTAAAAACAAAAACAGACGTGTGAGAGATGATAAGAAGCCATCTACAGAACTTTCTAACATTTTCTTTCTGACATCTTAAGTTCTATGTTACATGTAATCTCTTTATCTTCCTAGTCAGAGAAACAAGCATATACTCATCACTTGTATCTATGTTGTCATGTTTTTAACTCTCATTCAAATCTCACAAATCTATAAGCTTTTCCAGAAGTAAATATGTGAAATATGTGAACTTGAGACTAAGAGGAGGACTGTGAGGAGGATTGTGAGGAGGACTGTGAGTAGGATTGCATGACTTGTGTCCGATTTCTGTTCCTCTCAAAGCGGTTGTAAGCAGTCCTGGTCCGTAGGAATAGGAATAAGCTTGAAGCTAACCCTACTATTGAAATACAGCCCCACCATATGAATGTCTGCCTATAGCATGACCTACCCATGCACAATGTTGCATCCTTTAACAAGCTCACCCCTATTATTGAGCTTCCTTCATTGGAATCATACACCAGAGCTGCAAGAAGGCCATATAGGAGTGAGCCAATTGGGATGTTGGTGATAAGGATGTTATGGTTTACACCAGCGCTGTTTGGCCCAAAAAGCTCTGATGTAACTGAAACAGCTGCAGAAAACACAAAGCCAGAGCTTATCCCAATCAAGCCTGTTCCTGCACGCAGCATAGCCTCACTGCCTGATGCAGCAAGCAAAAAGAAGGCAATTGGTGTTGGCACCAGAGCAACTGCAAGCCATCCAGTTCTTGCAAAATAGATCTTACTGCATTACCAAGAGGCAGGTTAGCTTTTATTCCATATGGCTTTTCTCATTCTCCAATTGTTAAAAGCGTTAGTTTTCTAGATACATACTCATGCAGGAAATCCGGGGCAGCTGAGAGCAAACGACCAAAGAAGGAGCATGAAGAGTATAATGTGACTAGAGAACTAGTCAGGGAACTGTATCCAAGTGATTGTGAAATCTGACCGAGATTGTTGCTATAGACCAACCCAATTGTTCCCCCACAAAAATATGCAGCATAGTATAGCCAAAAATCCCAGCGGCGTACAAGCAGCTTAGCTGAGTGCTCTTCACCTAGCACTGTCAACCTGTCTTTCTCCATCACCTTCCCAAAACATTCGAAACACCTGAAAAAGCCTTCCGTGTCTATCATCCCAAGCGAATTAGCATTTGTGGCATTTGTGGCATTAGTGCTTTCACTTCCTGCAATGAGTACTTTATGGAGCTCAAGATCATCAGGGTCAACCAAATTGAAGGTAGATGAGTTGTTCGAAGGGAACCTTGAGGGGAAGTTCCTACGAGCCCACTCACGAGCATATGCAATGCCAGGCAGACACAAAGGTAGGATCAGGAGAAAAAGAGCACCAACTAAGAGCATCCGAGCTTTCGATACATGAGAGGATAGGGAGTTGAGGAGGAGTAGATATAGGCCTGTGATCACAGCTAGGATGTTTAGGCAAAGAAAAATGATGGAGTCACGGTCAGTGGCATCAGCAGGAAGTGACTGAATCGGCGGTTGGCGGAGTACAGGGATGAGAGCAACACCGGATGTGAAGAGAGGTACTAGAGCATTGAGGAAGAGGTAGATGGTGTCATCATTTGGGTTTATTGCATTGGCAATGAGGGTGTAGAGGGCTGCACTTACCCCATTGAAACTGACTGTGAGGGACAATGCAAGTGCCCGGTTCGCTTGGAAGTGTTTGATGCATAGAACATAGCAGACTGTGTTGAACCAGCAGATGCTGCATCCAGCCAACAAGCATAGAATGAATACCTGCCGAACCGAAAAAGAAAAATTAACGGTAATCACCTTCTTAATTGAGATTAGAACAATTGCAATGGATTAAGTTGAGCTAGCTTCTGTTATGAGAAAACAATAGGACTAGCTTTACTCTAACGTTGTCTTTTTGTATATTTTGGACATAAATATAAATATAATATAAGTGGCACTAAATTTAGCTTTGCTAGCTTTTTCTTTCTTCTAAAACAAATAACACCCTTACGACATCGAAAAAAATCCTTTCTTTTTTACATCATTAATTCTTCTTAATGAATTGATCTTTTTAAAATATAGAAAAAAGAAAGTTGATTAATTATCTTACACTTTCTTTCTCGTTATTGTGTTTTGGTACAAGGTTTCTAGATAATTTGTTTATCCATATATATAAAGCAAAAGGCAGAGAATGGTAAAACATTCAAAATACCAGAAAATGTCATTGGTTAATGCAAACATTAAGAATTGAAATTATTAATTAAATGAGGATTATATAATAATTTCACACTTTTTCATATTTAAAAAGTAAAATTGAAAGAAAAATAAGATAATGGATCCTATTTTTATGGAATACAACCACCCATTATCTTTTTTAATTCTAAAATAAATTTAAATTTTTTATAAAAAAAAACATCTCGCAAGCGTGGAAGCACATGCAGAGAAGCTAGTGTTCATATATGCATGGAGACTGTAGAAGTCTTCAATGGGTTCACAACCTTATTAAATGGTTTGAAGTTTTTTCTTAAGAAGCTGGTAGATTGAATGATGGATGTGTTTGTTTCACTAACCATTGCTAACTGTCTCTTTCTATAGTTGAATTTGTTAGGAGACAAGGAAACCAATGCATCAACGTTGATACTTGCGGTTGTGGTAGTTCTATGTGGAGGTTAGAGGTTCACCAAATTTAGGTCAATTTTTCCTTAACTTCCCAAGAAAAGACAAAAATTAAAGATTTTAAAAAAAAGAAAAAAAAAGAAGAAGAAGAATAAATAAATAAATAAAAACCCAGTTCAACAAAATCAAAAAAATGAAATTTCAAGAAAAACACATTATCATGTAAGCAAAAAACCCAGAAAAATATATGACAAAAAATGAAGAGAGCTAACCAGAACATAAGGAAGAGTGATGAGTCTTTGAATGACAAACCATTGGAGGCCATAACCAAACAAACCCATGAATGCAGCCATGAACATGACAGCCCACAAAGGAAAATACATGAGAGAAACCCCAGAACACCAACCCAATGCCTTCCCCATATCTGAGGCCACAGAGAGATAGTTGAGCTGCACTTGAGATATCCCAAGAACAGATTTCAAGTCAGAAGAGTAGGATGAGAAATCAAAGTTTGTCCCTGTAAATGCTTGTATCCATGTTGCTGCTACAAGTATCATCCATTTTCTTGACTGCCCAACCATGATTTCTTGCCCCAAATCTTGATTTCTAATTCTTTGAATTAGAAACCGAAGTTGCAAGGGAGGGAGAGGGCACTTGATCTAAAGATATAAACAAGGGTTATGGGGTTTGAGGGAGAAGAAGGGTTTAGAGGTTCTTGGATTGGATTGATATTGTTATGTCCTAATTTTAGCAATTGCTAGATTGTCTTTTTATGGTTGTTTTTTTATTGGCGCCCTCACTTTTATGCATGACTCTCTCTCTCCACAATCTATATATGTATATGCTCTTTTATCTATACGTACATACATATATACATATATATATATATATATATATTCTGCCAATGGAATATTTCTCTGTAAGAAATGTTAGGAAGGAAAGGGTTTTGGATAGTGATGGGGATATTTGTTGTGGCTTGGTGGGTGGAAATTGCTTGTGCGTTAAGATTATGATTTGTTAAGCCTTGTTTTGAGGAGTTCATGTGTAAGAGGTTGTTAGGACAAAGAAGACCAATTTTGAAAGGCAGTTGCAACTTGCAAGCAGAATATAGCTGATGAGTTTTGTTTAAGGTAGTTTGTAATTTGCACCCATAAAAATGTTCATCATAACGACCCTTTTGAATGGAAAGTGATATTCCTTGCATCAAACGACATCATTTTTTAGGAACTTAAGCTCCTCTGTTTTATTGGTTATGGATAAAAAGGTAAACACTCTTATAGAATTACTACAGAAAAAGACATTCTAATGACAAAGCATCTTATGGTTGAATTACTCTTTCTTTTCATATTGCCTATTTAAGTTAAAAAGGAAGTTGCCATATTTTTTTTTTTTTTTTTTTTTTTTTTTTTTTTTGATACTTGGCTTTTTATTTCAAACGAGTTATTTCTCTTTGCAAGCAATTCACAATTTAACAAGTTTCCAGATCCTTTCTTTTTTGATGATTGTAATGAGTTACGTTTGTATTTGTACTATGATTTCCGAGTGAGGAAAAATAATAGGGTAAATTTCACTTTACTATCTGCAAGTTTTCCGAAATTTTGACTTTACTACACAAAGTTTTCTTCTTCTCATTTTCATTCACAACGTTTACTTTTACTATCAATCTAGTATTTTTCGTCATGTTTTCCGTTAACTCATGATATGGCAGTTAATGAGTTTAAAATTGATGACAAGATGTGACTTTTACCTACTCAATTTGTGCCACGTGGACGAATAATTAAATAAATAATAAAATTTTAAAACAAATACAAAATATAAGTAAATAAATAAATAAACTTAAAAATAAAAATAAAAAACCATTCTCAGCCGCCCCCACCTTCTTCCCCAAACCCTAGCACCCCATCTCCTCCATGCACACCGCCATCTCCTCACCGTCTCTCTCTCTTCGGACGAACCCAAGCGCAGCCCCATCTCCCATATACTTTCTCTCTTCGATTTAGTCATGTTTTTTGTTTTTTTTTCTTTTCGTCCAGCAAAACAATAATTACAAAAATCAAATTTCTCTCTCTACGACAGTCACCCTCTATCTTTCTCCTCCCATCGAACGGAACGGATGTCGTCGACGAGAGCTTGCGGGCCTCCGTGAAGGATTGACAACCCCAAAAGACCAAACCTCACAGCCAGAAAAACACACCCCAACCACCACCCTGGCGAAGCAAACCCAAACCCACTATTCCCACCACCCCCAGCGAACCAAATCACCCATGCCTTGCGCCTTCTCCCTCGCTGCGCACCCCATCCCCAAAAATTCTCAGCCAACCCAACCTCTTCTTTTCCTCCCCAAATTCAACCACTAATGAAGTCACCATCTGAGGACATTAGAGTACTACCTGATCTTCAGAACCCTTATCATTCTTACCAATCTCTTCTTTTTTCTTCTTCTATTATGAGAATTTTTTTATTTTAAAAAAAACAGAGTCGGTAGTGGTAATGGTGCCGATCTGATTTCGCAGGCACTAGGTTGTGGCTTGGGAGCGGGAGATGGGTGCTAGTACTGGAGATCTCGACATGGAGATGGTGGATTGTGGCTTGGGAGCGGGAGATGGTGCTAGTGCTGGAGAAAAATATTTAGGACAAACTATAGGAAATCCCAAACCTACAAGGACATTTACGAGTTCATATCCGATTTTGGAGATATTTACTAGTACATACTCAACGTCGCAGAAACCCTACAAATTACCCCATCCATTAGTCAAACCGTTAGTAAATCTGTTAAATGTTGACATGGCGAATATAGGTTTCATTGTTTAATGAGGTGGACTTACAAGTGGACAAATAAATACTAAAAAAATTCTATATTATTTAAAAATAATTATAAACAAGTAAATAATACCCAATTGATTTTCTTTTTTATTTTATTTTTAGTATGAAGAAAAGATAATATGGATAGTTATGTTCCATAAAAGTATGATCTATTATCTGATTTTTTTTTTAATTTTTAATTTTTCTAATATGAAAAAATGTAAATTTACCATATTATCCTCAGTTAATTAATAATTTCAATTCTTAAAGTTTGAATCAACCAAGGGTATTTTCTGGTATTTTGAATGTTTCACCATTCTCTGCCTTTTGCTTTATATATATAGATTATTCAATTAAATTAAAAATTAAAAATCAAAAGAAAACAATTTATCTTCCCAGCCTCACCCCACCTCACCCAAACTGACTGTCTCTTCCCACACCCCCACTGACCCACCCTTCCTCCGTGCACACCGCCTTCAAAGTCATCGCCACTGACCTCACTGTCGTTGGATAGAACCAAAGGCAAGATCTCTATCCTTATCAACTGCCTCTTCTTCTTGCTTCCCTTGGAGACCTTACGATCACCATCTTCATTCCTCAGCCTCCGAATTAAGGATTGATCGTCGCTTGGGTTGGGGGTTTTCAATTTTCCTAATTGATCGTCGTCGACCTCAACCATGGTTGTCGCCAGAAGATGCGATTTCAACTTCCAAAGGGATCAAGTTGCAGTCCTCAAAAAACACAGACTTCGTTTTGGGGCTTCTGAGAAACTATGGATTCTCTCAAACCCATATCTCATGAGATCAAGTTGTAGTCCCTAGAAAACGCAAACTCCATTGTGGGGCTTCTGAGAAACCATGGATTCTCTCAAACCCAAATCTCAAAGTTTTGCAAAACTCGCCCAAAAAGTAACGGGTTTTAATGGGTTGCTCTTCTTGTCTTACTTTCTAGCTTTGTTTGGATGCTGAGAAAGTAGATTTGCGTGTATGTTTTGGTTGAATGAAATAGAACAAATGGTTTTTCTTTAAAATTGTGATGAAATCCAGTCATTTGCACTCTGTGATGTGTTTTGTATACTTATTCAAATGCTTCATTTTGGATATGGGTAGTGGAATTCGAGTTAAGCTGAACTTGGGTTTCATCGTTTTGGAAGAATCAAAGAGGTTCTCAATGTTAGATTCACAAAATTTGGTTTGCACAATAACGAAACAGAGGGATTATAAGCAATTGGGCAAGATGATGGCTGCGACAGAGAGAGGGGGGGGGGGGGGGGGGGGGGGGGGGGGGGAGAGAGAGGGGGGTGGGAATGAGTGGGGAAGATCGTCGGGGTGGTTGGCTGGGTTGGAGAAGATAGATGAGATTTTTTTTTCTTTTTTTAATTCTTTTTTTAATGATTTTAATATGATTTAAAAATTATTTTTAACATGTACATAATTTTTTATTAGTTTTTTGGTCTATATGGAAGTCCACGTCATCAAAAAATGAGTCCCACTTTTGACACGTCAACATTTAACAGACTCACTAACAGTTTGGCTAACGAAATGGGCAAATTGTAAGGTTTCCGCGACGTTGAGTATGTACTAATAAATGTCCCCAAAATCGGGTATGAACTTGTAAATGACCCTATAGGTTTACTATAGTTTGTCCAAAAAATTATTTTACTTGTTTTTCCATTTTTACTTGTTAGTTTTTTTTTATTCCACGTGGCACAATATAAGTGAATCTAAGTGGGATCATTGATTGCCACGTCATCATTTAACAGAGCATTTGACAGAATAACTGATGGATGTGTGAAAATGGTAGAAAAGCCAAACTTCGGGTACAAAGTTGATACGAAAAAAACTTTAAGTAAGCAAAGTCATGATTTCGGGAAATTTGCAGTTAATAAAGTGAAATTTACCCAAAATGATGAGTCTTAGAATTGCTTAAAAAATGACTCATTAGAGCACTTCCAGCAGTTAGTTGTGGCCCAGACAGGAGGGGGCCCAAGCCCTAGGTAGAGGTTTCAGTGGGCAAATGCAGTCCGGGCAGCTAGTGGGCTCCACAAGCCTGGGCAAGCACAAAGGCAAGAATAGCCTAGGTTATTGCTTGGGTTTGTTGACGTCCGCGATGACGTCAGTAATGAAAAAAATTATAAAAAAAATCTAAAAAAATACTAAAATTAGTCATATTCTTCACTTCTCACACCAAAACTCTATGCAAATTCATTTCCTCATATCTCATGTGAATAGTGTTGCCTTTGGGTTGCCATGGCAATGGGTGGAAACACCACAAGCCTTTTGTAAGAGCTGCCACTATTCACGTAAATAGTAACAGCCCTTGCCTTGCCCTTGCCCTTGCCCTTTGCCATAGCAAATGGGTGGAAGTGCTCTTATATGAATGAAGTTTTCAACTCATATCTAATTGGGAACCTTTACTTCATCTCAAGATTTGACATGCGAGAAACATAATTTCCAAACATAATTAAGTTTGAGTGAAAATTGCTCATTATATATGGGCACATTGTTGAACCTTGAATGCAACTCGACCCATAACCTATGTTAAAAAATAAAAATAAAAATAAAAGAAAAAAAAGGGCTTACTTTTTGAAATGTCCCTTGTGTTTTCAATTTTGTCTCAGTATGTCCCTTGGACTTTAAGATGACCATGTATACCTCATGAGCTTTATTTCCACGAGTTACGTTACCCCATTCCATATATTTTGTGTGAAGAATCGTTAAGTATGATGATGTAGATGCCACATTGTGTGATGATGTTTAGGAAAAAAGGTGTTGATGAGACTAAAAAACCTTTGAATCCATATAAGCTTCCCAAGTATAGAAAAGCTGTAAAATATGCCACATGTGGAAGAAGGCCATAATAAGCGAGGTTGTAAGGTATGATATATATTTGTTCTTAAAACCTTTGTGCTTCCCAAATTTAAAGCCTCCCATGGAAGAAGAAGAATGCAGCTAGGGCAAAGCTTCCTGTAAACTACTCATTCATATTCTTATTTGTGTGAGCAAAATAATTCGCTACCGATCCGGCACATCACGGGATTGGATTTAGGCACAGCCTAACATGGGCTTGGATGTGCATTTGCCCAATGTGGGTTCGCATACGCTTAAGCCCAACGTAAGTTCGGATAGGTATTGGCCTAATGTTGGTTTGCATGCGCATAAGCCCAATGTGAATTCAGATGTGCTCCACCCAACACGGGTTCAGATAAGTATCACTCAATGTGGGTTCACACTCGCATTACCCCATATTGACTCATGTACAAGTGGCCCGACATGGATTCGTGGGTATATTCAAACGCCCACACTCCCCAATCCGCATGAATCGAGGGACAACATGAACACGGTTGGGTGTTGATAACGCACAACTCACATTAATTAGGAGTGGCGAAAGTGGACATAAGACGTGCAAAGTAAGGCTTGCATCCCAAGGCTGTCATCAGGTATAAATGTGAAGTTTCACAACCAGAGAAAGGTATGCGATTTCAAATTAATTGGTGCACTCAAATACATACAAAAAGTGACTTGAGCGTCGGAGTATCTTTTGCAAGTACCTATCCCTCTCTCATTTGATTTCGAAGGAGTGTTGCTTGGGGATTTATTTATCTTGTGTGCAGAGTAAAGCTGAGAACCTATGGAAGACACTCTTATTGTAAGAATTTCTGCTCCAACAGTTGGCGCCGTCTGTGGGAACTCTCGCAAAATCAATCAATGGCTGAATTCGCACAAGGCGCTCCAGCCCGATCCAATCCTCTTCTGCAGATGTCAAATCAAATTTCTAGGACGCAGAACCTAGCCTAGCAGCCATCCAGTTGTTGAGGCCCAAAAATCCAAGGGGCTAAGCCTAGATTAATTATTGGCCCAACACAAATAATTGAACACAAAAGAGGTTCAATCGGGACAAAAGAGAATTTGTAGGAAGCACTAATACAAGCTACGGGCCACACATCATGCCAAGCAAGCACGTGCAAAAGGGCCAAGAACATGCCAACTTTACAAAAATCACGCTCACATGCCTATTAGGTGTTACTTGGCCCGATTATAGCTTATCATGACATAATAAAACTCAAGCACAAGCGTATATGTCATGCAAGAAGAGCCATTATTCTAACACCAAGCTATGCCACAAGCTTAAGTGGGCCCAAGCCACAAAATTACCCGGGGCTTGCTGAGAAGGTTGTGGTGTGGATGGGTACAAGCATTCATAAGGCCTATTTAAGGGATCAAGGAATGAGAATTTTGGGCTACTTGGGAGCACCAAAACTCAAGCCTATTTCTTAGCCCCAAACACATGGGCTAGTATGAGAGAAAGAATATGACCCAATGCCTTAAGAAGAATTTAGTAATTTGCTTAGAAAACCCTATGTTAATTAGAATGCCCAAATACTTTGTTAAAAACGCAACAGGCAAACTGCTTCGAGCAGCTTGACGAAAATAAGCTGAGCAGTTGCTGAAGAGTAGAATATCACCGACCCATGGCCTTGGGAAAAGCCCAGCCCAACACTCTATAAAATATTTAGCAAATACGTTCAGCCTTTGCCCAAAGGAGTCAACGGAAGCCAACACAAAAACCAGAGGAAATCCATGCGAGAAAGAGGTTCACCCGTTGGGTAAACAGTATGTCCATTCCCCCTTTTTTTTTCTCTGTTAGCCCTTATAGGAAAAATCAAGAAGAAAGTTAGTGGCGCTTCACCCCTATGGAAAAAGACCAGCCATGCCAAAACCTTGGAACCACAAAGAACTCCTTACCTATGCACCTTGGATGGGAGAATTTCACCAAAGAAGCTAAAGTGGAAAGAAGCAACGAAAAAGGAAGGAAAAGGTTAGATGAAATTAGGGTTCTTTGTGGCTATAAAAGAAGGCTTCTGTTACCCAGAAAATCAACCCATTCAGGGCCTGACCAAGCTTTGTCAAGCAACTGAAAATTTACTCAAGCCACCCAATCTTCTTCTTTGTTTGTTTCTTCTTCCCTTAAGGAAGAAATCGTTCTAATCTTCCTCTGCCCACTTCAAACCCTTGTTCTCTCTAAGAAATTCATGCTTTTCTCTCTCTCAAATCGCTAAACTTGTGAAAGCTTAGCTCCCATGCCACAAGCTCTTCAAGCTAAGCTATTAATCGATTTATCATGTTTATTTGGCTACTGGTGAAAAGAACCTAAGAGTGTTTTTCTAAAGTTTCATCAGATTTTTCAAAAACTCTTTTGGGAGCTTGGTTTCAAACTCAGACACTTGGGGAATTTTGTTTCTTTTTTCTTCTTACGGCAGCCCAGGCCCATTCGTCAAGCTGCTGGAACGAAAATACCCCTACACTAGTTTAAGAAGATAATGAAGGAGTTGCGTGAAACGAAGAAGATGGCAGTCGAAGCTTTGGAGAAGTCCAAGGGCAATTATATGTCGCATCCGGAGGGCCCCAAGGGGAGCAAAAGGAAAGAGAGGATAAAGTTATCTGATGGAAGTTCCACAGAAAGTATTCACTCTGATGGTCACCACTAAGACCAGATGAGGGAATTGAAAATGTCCAAAGACAGTGAGCTGCGAAGACAAATTGAAAATATTGTGAAAGGGTACAAACCACAGACACCTGTCAAACTGGCTATTGAGGCTGCCAAAGGAATTTACAAATCACCTTTCACTAATGATATTCTGAAGGCTAAGAAGCCCGTAAAGTTTACTCAACCCAAATTCAAGTTATTCAAAGGCGTTGCTGACCCCATCCTGTACATCTATCACTTTCAACAGCAAATGGTCCTTGAAAGCGAAGATGAAGCGTTGTTGACATGGTTCAGGCAGTTGAAGCCAAAGTCCATCGACAGCTTCACTGAGCTTTGCGAGGCTTTCATATCCCAATATGTGTGCAATCAAAGGAGAAAGAAAGACATCACATCGTTGTCAACACAAAGCAGAAGGCATCTGAAAGTCTCAAAGATTATCTAAAGCGATTCACAGAGGAAATGTCTACTCTAGAGACTTATGATTTTCATACTGCGTTATTGACATTCTACAAGGGAGTGATGCCGGGAATAAAAATGCATAAGTCCTTGGTCAAAACACCACCCTTTGACATGAGGGAGGTTTTGGCTCGAGCCGATGGAATCATCATACTAGATGAGGAGGAGCTTGCTCTGTCAAAGCGCACCGCCGCAAGCATTTCAGCACTAAAGCACCCATATGAGATGATCTAAGGGACAAGGACAAATTTCCCGAATGGAAGTCTCCGCAATTAAGGGCAAAGGAATTTAAAAACACCTCCGACATTACATGAATTGCTAGAGAAACGAGACCGAAGTAAGACTTGTGCACACCATAATGACTTTGGCCATACTACAAATGACTGTCGAAATCTCGGATACCAAGTTGAAGTGATACTAAAAAAAGAAAATGATGCTTTCACAATACCGAGCCCAACCAGAAGATAAGCCGAATGAGGAGCACGCGGCCGAACTATTGACCAACAACATCGCCGTTGAAGAGGGATTGTTAGAAATCAATGCTATCCATGGACGACCTCAACCGCCAGAGGGTTAGCTGGCTTGAGCTCGAATCGAGAAAAGACAAGCTGAAAAGATAAGACGTGTTTGTGGAATTGCTTCAGCACCAGAATCGGCCCAATCATTAGAGAAGGTTGGGACCATCTCATTCACCCAACAAGACCTCAAATGAATCCAATTTACCCACAACGACGTACTAGTCATAACTCTTCAAATTGGAAACTCGAAGGCAAGAGGGTTATGATTGACGGCGGAAGCAGCGCATAGGTAATGTTTTGGAACACTTTTAAAAGAATGACATTTAATGAAAACGGGATCAGGCCCAATCCTAAAGCGCTCTTCGCATTTGAGGGCAACAAGGCACAAGCAATAGGAGACGTGACATTACCCGTCATAGCCGTTGGAAAAACTCTTTTAATGACTTTCGCGGTGGTGGACGCTCTGAGTGCCCACAATATGATCATGGGGAGAGTTGGATCCATAAAATGGATGGGGAGGCATCAACCAGATGTCAAGTGATGATATGTTTGACTAACGATGGTCTTGGTACTATCGATATCAAAGGGGTTCAACTCGAAGTCAAAAGGTGTTACAACTAGCGATTGACCTTGAGAATGTAGCTAAAGCGCAGCTGCAACCAAATCGGTAATTATAGTAATTAACGGAGAACCCACTAACAAAGCAGGAAGAATATCCAAAGCCCCTCACAATTGAACCACTGAGGGAGGAGATATTGGATCCTTCTGATCCCAATAGAAAAGTATTGGTGGGCTCCCTCCTATCCAATGCTGAAAGGGAGCATCTCATCGAGTTCTTAATGAATAACAAGGACGTGTTCGCATGGTCACATGTGGATATGCTTGGAATTGATCCTAGTGTCGCATGTCACCGCCTAAACGTGGACCCTAACCACCCAACACACCAGCAGAGGCAAATGATGTTCGCACTAGAGAGAAATCAAGTCATTAGCGACGAAGTGGATAGATTTCTGGAAGTTGGGTTCATCCGCGACGTGTGGTGCAAGTCATGGATCTCTAATGTGGTGGTTATGGCTAAAAAAAAAGAGGAAAATGGGGAGTTTGTGTCGATTACATCAATCTAAACAAAGCTTGTCCGAAAGACTGTTACCCGCTGCCGGGTATGAACTTTTAACTTTTCTTGACACTTACTCAGGGTACAACCAAATTCCAATGGCAGTCGAAGATCAAGAAAAAACAACTTTCATTTTCGAGCGTGGCTTGTATTGTTACACGGTGATGCCATTTGGTTTGAAGAATGCAGGCTCAACGCATCAAAGGTTGGTGAATCAGATGTTCAAGGACCAAGTTGGGAAGACAATGGAAGTTTATATCGATGACATGGCTGTTAAAAGTGCGATGAAATCCTAGCACCTAAGTCATCTTCAAGAAGCCTTTAATATGCTGGGGCGATATCGAATGAGGCTATACCTAACCAAATGTGCTTTTGGTGTCTCATCTGGTCAATTTTTAGGACACATTGTGAATAGGTAAGGTATTAAGCCAAACCTCGAGAAGGTGGAGGCGTTACGAAACATGCCAAGCCTGAAGACTCCAAGAGAAGTACAAGTGCTAACAAGGCGGATAACGACATTAGGCCGGTTCATCTCACGTTTGTCTGACTGGTGCAAACCCTACTTCCGGGCAATTCGAAATAGAAAAAATGAGGCATGGGAGCCAAAGAAGTGGAAGCTTTTGATAAATTGAAACGATACTTGACAAGTCCCCCGATCCTAACTATACTAAAGCCTGGAGAGATGTTGTATATGTACCTCGTCGTAATTGAAGTGGCAGTAAGCGTAGCATTGTTTCAAGAATAGAACTACCTCTAACAACCTATTTTCTATGTCAGCAAGAGCCTGATTGACGTTGAAAAGAGATACAATTCGGTAGAAAAACTTGTCTTGGCATTGGTAGTAGCCAAGAGGAAGCTTCGACAATATTTCAAGGCTCATACTATTATAGTGCTCACAAACTAACCTATTAAAGCAATCTTGTCCAAGCTAGAATTGTCGGGAAGAGTCACAAAATGGACGATCGAGTTAGGAGCATTTGACATCAGGTACCAACCGAGAACATCTAAAAAAGGACAAGTAATTGCTGATTTTCCTTTCGAATGTTATCCCATAAAAGGAATGCATGAGAAACAAAGCGATACGGCAGAAGCGGGGTGTAGCAAGGAAACACCGTGGGAGTTATATGCAGACGATTCATTCAACCGAGCAAGGGTTGGGATTGTCCTTTTTTCGCCGTAAGGAATAGAGCTAGCATACTCTATCAGACTGGATTTCCCCGCCTCAAACAACGTTTCTGAATATGAAGCCTTGGTATTGGGATTGAAAATTGCAGGCCTACTGAAAATATATAATTTGAAGGTGTACAGTGACTCCCAACTTATAGTCAATCAAGCAAATGAGGAATATGCAACCAAAGATGAAAGGATGGAGGTGTATCAACAACTATCAAAGCGTTTGTCTCAACAATTCAAGAAGTTCGAACTAAAGCAAATTCCGAGATAGCTGAATGAACGGGCAGACCGTTTGGCATGTGAGGCATCTGCCTCAGCTTTAGGAGAGGGTTCAACAAGGGTCATATCTATACGACACAAAAAAAAAAAAAAAAAAAAAAAAAGGGGTGACCATTACATTTTCCGATGGCCCCGAAATTCCCTCAGTAAAAGTGTTTTTTCCAACCAAAAAATGTTGTCTGTTGGAAATATGTCACAGGCCTGAAATTTATTTTCGACTAAGGAAATACCCTTGGAAAAAGTCTCGATTGTTGTCGGAAATGTAATTTATTTGTGGGAAGACTTGGCGCCAACTTTATTAACGACCAAAAGTACGTTTGATGGAAATAGGATGATTATTTTTTAGGGCTTTCTCATTCCGTCGGAACTGTTTGACTATTTTCGAGGGGCTTCTTATTTCGTCGGAATTGCTTGAATATTTCCGAGGGGTTCTCCTTCCGTCTGAATTGTTTGACTATTTTCGAGGAGAAATATGTCATCTCGGAAAAACGTTTGAATGTCAATTTCCCATTAGAGTAAGTAAAAAAAAAAATTTGATTGATAATAACCAATCACACTCCAAAATAAATAACTAAAAATAGCCAATCCAAAAAAAATAGATGATTACAAAAAAATAGACAATCACAATTACATGACAACTCATCCCATAGTTGTCATCTCCTCCACCTCCTTCTCATACTTACTAATATGCAACATGCATGACACTTGAAAAGCCATACATGATATACATTAACATTGCACTTGCTTATTCTTTTCTTTATTTTATTCTTGTCACATTTTTCATTGATTTCCTCATTGATTCACACTGAAAAATTGGTTGTAGTAGAAGTTCCCCAGTACTTCAAATATTTGTATATTTTTTTTTATTAGGTTCAATTGTTGGAATAAAAAAAGGTAAAGGGAAGGCTAAGGGTAAAGATGGAAACGGCACTCCCATTGTAATACGTAGAGGAATGCAATGTATAAGGCCTGCGAAGTTAGCCATTTCTTGTGTAGATTCATTTTTATTTATTTATTTAAATTTGGTTTAAATTTTCAGGATTATAACCACTGGAGTTGTGCGAACTATGGGAGTGTTTTTTTTATCAGGCTATCGATGGAGCATGGCCAACATTTAAAACATTTCCATCAACTCAAATGGATTTACTATATGATCACTTTAACACGACAGGATATACACACACATGCTCAAAAGAAGAGATGAGGGAGGCATTCGAACAACATATTAAATTGCGATATTCCGATTGGATGTCTGCATTGAGAAATAGCATTTTTAAGAAATACTTGACTACTGGTGATAGATACATTCATTGCCCATTAGAGATATATCTCAAGATGTTTGGTCTAAATTGGTTGATCATTGATTGCAGCCTACATGGTAGGTAAAAACTCAATTTAAAATAGTATTGTTATGACTAGCTAGTGCATGCTTTAGTTTATTTATAGATGCCTTATATGGGTTCACTAAGTTGATATTAGGTTATGATTTACTTTTTTTATGCATGATAAAAGTAAAAGAAACAAGTCTAATAGGGCGAAATCCACTATTGTGCATACCACAGGTTCTGTTTCACTGGAAAAGTACAGAAAAGATGAGGTAAAAATATCCATTTGGTTGTTGCTTTCTGTTGACTGTTCCTTTTGTGGTTATTTCCAAATTTGGTCCTAACAAACTTCATTATTTAAATCTTAATAGCTTTATCGAACTGGAATTGAACCGAGTCTAATTGATTGTTTCAAAAAGTTCGATGTAAGTAAGCCTAAGAATGGAGGAGAAGAAAGTTGGCCAAGTGAAAAGGCTGAAGAACTTTTTGTACGTTGCCCCTACTTTGTTTCTCTTTTTTTAAATTTTTTTATTTTATTCACATGACATTTTTTTATATCCATGTTTATATTTCTACTATTTCATTGAAGGAAAAAATGGAGAATAAAAAGGTTGTTGCAACGGAAGACGAGAATGAAGTAGATGATTGAGATATATACAAGGAGGTTATTGGTGGGCCAAGTCACGGTCGTATCCTTGGCTTAGGTGGTGGCTATTGTACAAAAGATGTGTATCCCTCAGATGACCAAGGTTGTAATAAACGTACATGCTTAGAACGTGAAGAAGAGCATGATAAATTAAAGGAGGAATTGAAAAGTGGGTTGTATGAATTGAAAGATCTAGTTCAAAGTATGAGGGAAAACAACTCAAATACTTATGCACGTTCAAGACAATTTGCTTCAATGGTGAACTCTTTTCTTCTCATTTCAATATTTTGCTCACTGTTAAATATTATATTTGTTATTTTTATTCTCAAATGATTTATGTCTTATTAATTATTATCTTTTTTTTGGCAGGACAATGTAGAAAGTTGTTCAGATGCTCACCTCGAAGACGAGTAGTGCAACATCAATTGTATTTTGCTACAATATGTATTTTGAATTTCAAGATTTTGATATATTTGCGGATTGCTTATATGTTTTAAGGATGATGGGGATTGTTTATGTTTTAACTATTTAGAATAATTTTAATTGAATGCTTAAAATTTTAGTACAGTATGATGTCGTATGATTTTTTTAATTCCCAATTAAATACGGATGATTAGAAAACTATTTCTAGCAAATATTATAATTCAAATTTCTTTTTATTAATTTTTTTATAAAATAATTACATTTTTCAACCGCATTTCCCTCTCGGTAATGCATATGTCCAAAAAACACTGTATCATCGGAAATACTTTCCGACAATAATTGCCTCTTTCCGACAACATTCCCCATGACATAATCGGGTTGAAACAATTATATTTCCGACCACTTGTTCGTCAAAAATATTTTCCAACAGGATTAATCTATTTGCGACAAACTTTGCGACAAATAAATGTGGTTGGAAATATATAGTTCCGACGTAACTTGCCCATCAGAAATATTTTGTTATACTCTTTTTCGACGAGCTATTATATATTTTCCACAAACTTTTTTGGTCGGTAATGATAATTGCGACGAAATCTAACCCTCACAAATAATATATCATTGTCAGAAAAAGTATTTCTAACGACACTCATTGGTCGAAAATATGAATTCGCAAAAACAAGAAATCACGATAAAAGAACTATTTTCGACAATCAAATAAGTAATTACGACCACATGTATGGTCGGAAATAAATATGTAGGGTCATTTTAAAAATCCATTTCCGATCGAAATTTAAGCAATAGCTACAAAGCATGGGCGTCAGAAATACATTATTTCCGACGCAATGGTCAGAAATGAAGTATTTGCAACTGGCCTTTTAGCGACGACTTTCGACAGACTTTTGCCTTTGAAAAAGGGTATTTGCAACGGCAAAAGGCTTTTTGCAATGACTAAATGCCCCCGCAAAAGGTCTTCTGTTTTGTGGTGAGGTTGGGTGCTGGATAGGTTGAAGACCCAAAATTATAGATGATGTTCACGTGATCAGAGATTGGTAGCAGGGCATCTTATGGAGGGACCAAGGTTTGGGTGTCTCCATCTCTTGTCGAATGGTTGTTTTGATGGAGGAGGGGATATAATCGGTGGACTCTCCAGCCAATTAATGGGGCGGAGAGATTACAAAAATTGTTCATATACTTGAGCTAAATCTAGTAAAAATTCATAACATACCTCAAGCATCTGGGTAGTCGAAGTAGCATCATCCACTAAGGTGGAGGCCCCTAAAGCTAATTGGGGAAGAGGCTTGGATGGTGCATCCCCATTAGTAGGAATGGTGGAGGCTCACCCAGGCATGTTGCTAATAACGGTTGCCTTGTCAACCGGAACAATATGAGGATCCATCGTAACCACTTGAAAAGAAAAATATAAGTCCTTTGAAACTTGGGTATTTTGAGAAGTAATAAGGTGAAGTGGAGTTACTTCGAGAGTCAGATTCTCTGAGATTGCTTTAGAACTATGGTTCACAAGGCGGATATGAGGCTATGAGGTCATGTTCAAGAGAGGCTCAAGCTTAAATGAGTCTCTTGAAATATTTGATGTATGAGTAAGAGGCATGGGGACAAATATTCAGGAGAGAGAAGTTACATCTGGGGGTAGGAGGTTCTGCAGAACCTTTCTAGCCCAGAGGAACTTAGGTGGACGATCACCACCTTGTGTGGAAGCACCTTCTGAAAAATCGAAGTTAGACTTTCAAAAGTGTTTCCCAAAGAATCCATAGTATCATAAATGTAGATTCCTAGAAAATCATTTAGCATGAAGGATGACTTACCTTGGGTGTGGAAGACTGTGACCTCTTCTCGCCTCTATTAGAGCTACAGTCGACAGGGTTGGCAGAGCTCCTCTTCTCGGCGACAATGGCTACAAATTCTGAAATGTTGGTAAAAACAATTACAAAATCAAGAATGAGACAACAAGGGTCGGACTTTTCCCTAAGGGCTTCAATTTTTTTTTTTTCCACTTTACTTTTATTATTGTTGTAAGAAGATGGTCAATCTTCAAAGATCCTCTCCTCAATATCCGAGCACGGCTGAGATAACCAACCAGTCGACACTCTCTCTCACCAAGCAAGAAATATATTGGCGAAGCTAAACTATGGGTCCCTGGTTGGAACCATGAAAGACTTAACCAACTTGTTATTATAGCTCATTAAAGAGGTTACGTCACTTGCCTCATTGGATGTCATCCTTCACGAAGAAAACAAGTTAAGGAATTCCATTAAGGTGACTGGAATACTCTGGACAAAATCTAACTGATAGCCAATGACGACATGATAATAAAGCTCATAGTCGCACATGTAGTTAGGCACTTTGGCCACTGTTAGGCCGTAGGGAAGATCTCTGCTGATGAGGATTCTCGAGTTGGTGCATCTCGTCTTTCATTTCTAGTATGTGGGAGAAAGGCAACGTCCAAAGCCAGATACTTTAGAAAGTGATGGTCTAGGAAAATCAACAAGTGGTTACTCCTCATCTCTTGACATTCGTAGAGGAACTGAAAGCAGTCCTCTTTATGGTGCTTTCGTAGTGGAAGACAGAGCAACGATGAGCCCATGAATGACTTGTTGTAGACCCTGGGATCGTCGGTCCTAACTTCGGAAAGTAAAGCTGAAGCTACAACTAAAAGATCCAAATAGGTGTGAGCGTGAGTATCTGGTGGAGGCCTCTATAACGATAGTCCAGGAAGATAGGAACCATGGTCACCTGATGACCATTTGCAAGAACTTCCACCAAGTTCTTGAGTGATTGTGCTGGATCTCGAACATGCCAGGAATTTGCATATCCACATCAAGAGGAACACCACATGCTCTATAAAGGATACTCCATTATTGGAAGACATCGGGGCTCCAGAGGACTGCCCACTATAGCCAAGATATGTCTTCACCAAATTTCTAGAAAACTTATTTGACTTGCTATAATCAAACTCAAGCATGAAAGATGGGAGGCTCGCTGCTGAATAGTAATCTCCGTGTGAGTGGAGGTCGGCGATCTCGGTCAATTCCAGCAAGGTGGGAGTCATCATTCCAAAACGAAGTCTCATGTAGTTGGTATATTTAGACCAAAAGTATAGACCCATAATGATGTGCTCTCGATCACAAGGGACATCACCACACGCACATAAGATGAATGTGTCATATATTCCAACTCGCTTCCAGAAGTTTGAGCTTTGGTTTCAAAATGTTGAACCAATCATACCAATTGAGCTTGCCATCCTTCAAATTTGGGTGGCTGGGGTTGTTTTTGGTGGCTGATTGAGACTTTGCCTTTCTTGCGTGGCGCAAGATCAGTCTTCCTGGAAGGCCCATTCGACTAACCATTGAATGGCCCGTCACTTTCCCACCTTGGGTATAGGACTTTTGTTTATATAGATATGCAACTTGATGTATTGTAAGTTCGAGTAAGTGTGCTTATAGTTGCTAATTGAGGATTTTAGTCATTTTGTGCTTTACACGTGATTCTCTCCATATCAAGTGAATTCTTTGTACGGTTTCCAATCAAGTGTGCTTAATTATTATACAAATTTATAAATAAACCCAATCCTAGACATGTATTTATAAAAAAACCCAAGCACTATTTAAACATAGAAACACACCCAAAATCAACAATTGTATATTTTTTGGGTGTGTTTATAAATAGATTTTGAGTGTGTGTAATGATGAGTTTTGGGTGTGTTTATAAAGTGTTTTGGGTGTTGGGTTTTTTTATAATTTCAGCCCCCATTTTGGGTGTTTTAGTGAAACTCCCTAATTATTATTGTTTTTCTCAAAAAAGTAAAAATCTATATTGAATAAGGGGGTGTATTGAATTAAGATTGTATACGATTTTGAAATATTTTTTTTAAGTGGCAGATTTCCTGGAATTGTATAATTCCTATAGGTTTTACCCTGATTTTTAATAAACCTCTATAGACTTATATTATAGACTTCCATACTTTTGTATGAACTTTTGCTATAGATTTAGATATATTTGTATAGACTTTAGTCACTCTTTCTTCCCAACACTATTCTCTGTATATGAGGATGCATTAGGATCAAAGTTTGTCTTTGCCCAACATGAAAATGGAAAAGCACTTCAATTCCGGCCTCTATTGTCAAAGATTTGGCTGGGCATTAATATTTGGAAAAACTTTCAACTTCTTGTGGGAACTAATAATTTTTCAATTGGATTTATGTCATCATATGGCAAGGGAATAGCACCATCTTCCCATGGATCCTTGGGATGGAGGTTGGACTTATGTTGGCCTCTATTACTTGTACCTAAACCCTAGAAGTTCTCCAAAGTCCAACACTCAATTAAATCCTTCCAAGTCTATCTCCTTTTGAATACAGGTAAATTTATTTGGACTTTTTTCAAGTACTAATTGAATACTCCCACATTTAGATGAACATTTTAAAAGTTCAAACAAGTTTGAATTGAATACACCCAAACTTTTATAGACTTCTTAAAAATTCATTAAAATCTAAATTGAATATACCGGACTTTTAAAGTCTTTAAAAATATTATAGAAATCTAAATTGAAAACACTAACAATGTGTTTGGATGAGGAAATTTAAAAGTTCAAAGGATTTCATAAATAACGGAATTTAAAATGACGGAAATTAATATTATAGAATTTGTAAAGTTTCTTGTTTGGGTGATGAATTTTAAACACGGAATACCTTTATTTGCAAAGTTATATTTTTTAAAAATTCAACTCTCTTGGGATTTTAGAAATGACTACTTTTAGATAGTATTTAAAGTTGAGATTTATGATCTCCAAATTCCATGTTTGTTTCCCATGCGGTATTTCTAAATTTCTATATTTTTTTTATCCAAACACGAGAATTAGTTCATGTCGATTTAAAAATTCTTATTTTTTTCAAAATCCAAGTTTATTTCCCTTGGATAGAATCCAACTCAGCTGAATACAGCTGAACTTTCCTGAAATCTGAATTGAAGAAGCCCCTTCTCATCCTAATACAAAAATATTAAAAGAAAAGAAAACAAGAGAAAAATAGCAACACCAACTCAATTTCTCCTCCACGAGGACGAGAACGCGAACGACGACGACCACCCGCAGGAGCTTCCCAACCACGATTTTAGAACAAAGAAAACACTCTTCTTCTCTATAGCTCCTTCAGACTCAGTAGCCCCTCGTCAGTTCTTCAAAACTAGAAACACAGTGAAACAGAAAGAGGGAAGATGGATATAGAGTTTGAGGCGAGGGTGAAACCTCTGGAATACAAAGTGAAGGCAATGTCACGTGAGTCGCCGTCCCAGAAGGCGGGTCACGTGCTCGACGCCGACCTCCGCTCCCACTGGTCCACCGCAACCAACACCAAGGAGTGGATTCTTCTCGAGCTCAACGTACCTCCTCTCCCTCCCTCCCTTTCTACTCTAACCCTAACTCTAATCCAGCCTATTTTATGATTCACATAATTTTGATTTAGTTTAAATTTTGTCTTCTGGGTTTGGCAGGAACCTTGCTTGTTATCGCACATACGAATTTACAACAAGTCTGTGCTCGAATGGGAAATTTCAGTTGGCTTACGCTACAAGGTTAGTCAACTGCTTTTTTGTTTGTTTGTTTTTGTTTTGAGTATGGGAAATTTCATTTCTTTGTCTAACTCGACTCAAGAAAGTTGTTTGCTTTGAATCCACTTTAGCATCTGTGGTATCTTAACATAATTGATTGTATATGATTTAAGGGTAATGTGAACTGCTGATATAGCTTCAAGCTTCAGTTCTGCATGTTTTAGATGAATTTTCTACCAAGTTGTTTGCTCTGGGGTTTTTACTTTATTTCGTTTTTTGAACAGCCAGAGACATTTGTAAAAGTTCGCCCACGTTGTGAAGCACCGCGACGTGACATGATCTATCCCATGAACTATACTCCCTGTCGCTATGTGCGAATATCTTGTTTGAGGGGAAATCCCATAGCTATTTTCTTCATACAGGTATGATATGGGAATTATATCTGCGACATTATTGATTTGATCTGCCTTAGCATATGAAATATGAATAAATCCATATGTGCTTGCTTGCGATAAATTTCATTTATCAAGCTTTGAATTTTTGCCCCCCATGCCACACCATTTGTCCTTTTGTTATAGCTACCTCTCCAATGAAATAACAAGTCCATTCCCAATCGTTTGAAACTCCTAACTTTTCTGCAGTTTTGAATATATATATATATATATATGTATATAGATATATAAATATATTATTTCTCTTCGATTATGTCCTGCCTAATAACGATCCCATCATGTGATTAATGAATCACATCTGGTCTCAGATTTATTGGCACTAAGGTTTCTTATATTTCTACCGTTTCAGCTTATTGGCGTTTCAGTGACTGGCCTGGAACCAGAGTTTCAACCAGTTGTTAACCACTTGTTGCCATCCATTATATCTCACAAACAAGATGCCCATGATTTGCATCTTCAGGTGGATCCAATTGTGCTATCTATAATGTTTACTGTGTACCCTGTTTTTGTGTTTTTATATCTCTCTGCCCTCTGATGCCTACTAGTTTGTAGTTGCTTAAAGACATGACAAGTCGGTTGCTTGTCTTCCTTCCCCAACTTGAGGTATATTCATTTGTCTCAGATTTGTATATAATTCTTTTCTTTCTGCTTTAGTCCCCTATTTCTCTTTGTCTCTTACCCTTAGCTGATTTTCTTCTATTTTCTATTACACTGATGGCATTTTCTATGCACCCCTTTCTTGCAAACGGTGCAGGCAGACCTTAACAGCTTCTTGGATGCTGCTGAACCTAATTTACGTTTTCTTGCTATGCTTGCCGGTCCTTTTTATCCCATACTTAATCTTGGGAATGAAAGGTATGTACCTGCTTAATATCTTTCATGCATGCTATCTCCCAAATCCAGCTTGCAATGGTCTTTGCTTGCATGTTGTTACAGATGATGTATGTACTTTATCTTCATGCCTTTGCAACTCAATTGCTTAATTTTTGTGAGCACAAAGTGATTATTTAGAGTATTCTATGGTAAAGAATTTCTTATATGCTTGCTATCTAGAGTATTCTCTTTTCGTAATTTAACGATAACTATAGAAATATTCCGGAGTACCTTGGTTTTATTCTATTTTGAGCTTATAAGAGCTGCATATTTGACTTTTGGAATGAGAATTGATTTGAAGAACAATTTTTTTTCAGTTTCAAACCTTTTAATCCTGTTTCTATCTTTCCTGATTGTATTATCTGTTACTGCTCCTTTATCATGTATTATCTGTTACTGCTCATTTATCATGTTTGATGGAATATATACATCTACCTTGATTTCCTCTTTCACCTTGATGCAAAATCGAGGTGACAGAGGGTGTAAAAGGTTCTTAAGGGAAAAATAATTGATGACACGTTTGAGGGTTGGTTGTAGGAAGTAGGGTTTTAAGTGGCAATCTGTGAAAAGGTTATTTTAGGCAGATGTGCAGGATATTTTTATTTTTGGGGGCCAAATATGCAGGGATTATATGGGAAAGAAGTGTAGGAAGTTTAGACCCTTTAGGGTAAGGATATCAGTTGATGTAATTAGAAGATTGTTGTTTGGAGGTTTGACTGGTAATCAAAGAAATTTTGTTGGGTGCTGTAATTGTACTAAAATAAAGTCTAGTACTATTAGTTCAAGCGCTTTTGTTTGGTTAGTTTTGGTTGATAAAGTGAATTGAAGGATTGGAGTTTGTTAATTATGCGAAGTCTTGGCTTTGAAGGTCTGACACTGATTTGAAAGAGTTCCCTGAAAAAGCGCATATTGGCATCTTTTCGAATATGTTGTACATATATTAGTTTGGCAGGCTAAATGCTACTCTAGCATTACCCGAATGGGGGTCTTTGGCAGGTTAAATGCCAATCTAGCTTTATGAGATTGGGGGCTGCCTTCTGCTTGGTCTGTTAGTTCATGTAGAGGTCATAAACCTTATCCTGTACTTAACTCTAAAAATGAGCTAAAATCATTGGAAATTCATGTATTTCTTTCAAGCCCAAGAATTACAGGCCAGTGTTAAGGTGCAATAATGAAGCAC